TGAATCTTAATATTGGTCTTTTTAAAGTAGTATGGCTTTTTTTCCTCCCTCTGACTCCTTTTAAGATCTTGTCTTTGTCTTCTGTGTTCTTTATTTTTCACTATGATGAGTCTAGACATGGATTTGCTTTTATCTATCCTGCCTGAGTTTTGCTGGACTTCCTGAATCAGAAGATTCTAGTCTTGCATTAATCCTTGAAATTCTCAGCTACCATTTCTTCAACTATTGCCTTTTTCTATTCTCTCTTTTCTTTCCTTCTGGAAGTCTAAACTTGGCTTATGTTAAACTTTCTCACTCTATCCAGGTTTCTTCCCTTCCCTTCCATATTCTCCTTTTTGTAAGTCTATGCTATACTACTTCAGATGACTTGAATCGAGCAGGCCCTATACTTGAAATGTAATCATCAGATTTCATTTTGCATGTATCTCCCCAATGATAGTTATGAGGTCTATGTTTCTTAACTGTAAAAATAACTAATGATACTTAGAAAACTTTATAATATTTGTAAAATAAATTGGATTAATATCCTTAACATGGCAGCTACACTCACATATTCTTGCAGTGAGCCAATGACCTGCTGTAATTCGTTACAAGCAAATACAACTTTCACACTAAAGTGCTCTGAAATCAATCTTTCTTTTGCTTTGGACAATATAAAGTGTAAGAAAATAAGAAAACCCAGGAACTCTTCTAGTCAAACTGAGTCAATCTTGCCACAAGGCCACCTACACCCCTCAGGTCTCATTTCCTAAGTAAATCTGAAATTTACTGGTGAAGTGTTTCATAGTTTAAGCCCTGAGTGAAATCAACATTTCCAAGGCCAAAACAAGCACTCTAAAACTTAAGTCCAGAAGGGAAAAATGAATGTTTCCTTATGTTAAAACATTCAAATCTCACTTATTCATCGACTATTACTCTAAGAATAAATGTTAGGATCAGAAAAGGGAAAACAGGAGGAGAGTTGTCATTTTAAAATACTTAAAACAAGTCAGTCCAGAGAAAATATCACCTGTTTTCAAAGAAGGTATTTCTCTAAACTTACTGTTTTCTTTTCCTCCAGGAAGTTTGCTAAGAAGGCTTGCTCATCTGGCCAATTTTTGCTTTACTGAAATAATATTTTTGAAAGATGACTCAAAGAGCTATTTGAACTTATTCTCATCTAATATTCAAAATATCTAACACTGACCATGATGCAGGATGGCTGAATATTAAGGCTGGAAGGGATCCCCCTGATTAACTTGAGACTGAGACAATCTTGCACAGTCCTGAAAAGTTAGGTGACTTGCTTACAGCAAACAGTTAACTAGTAGCCAACCCAGGACACAAATCCAGGCCTGTTAGTACCATATCTTTTCATTCGCAATAATAAAAATTTATTTTTACAAAATAATTTATTCACTTCAGCTTTTGCTAGTAGAACATGCTAATTTCAGAGAATTTGGGAAACAGAGGACTCTTTTTAACAGGGAAAATTTGATACTAGTAGTGAAACAAATGAGGAGCACAATAGCTTAATAATTAACCAACTGAATATTCATTGTAGTAAAAATACATTTTTCTTACATAATTTTAAGAAAAATCAAGACATTGGAAGGCTATACAAATAGACAAATGGAGAATATTTTTTTAAATAGTAAAATGATGTCCACTTGTCCGGTAAACTGGAAGGAAACAGAAAGAAAGTAAACTGTTACAGTCTATTTAAAATATCAAAAGTTAAATGTGTACCCAGTTAAAAGGAAATTAATAAGTAACATTTAACTAAGAAGCTGTGATGGATGATTTGCTACGATTCATGGCAGATGTCCCTAAAGGAAATGAAACCTGAAACTCAGAAGGAGTGAGTACCAAAAACAAGCAAGTGCGGAACAGAAAAAACAGGCCATTTGGGAGCCTGGGACCTCAGAGATTGTAAGAATGAGGGAAAAGCATGTTGTGACACTTACAAATAAGGAAGCTGTGATGAATGGAGAACACTGATGACACTGACAAGGGATCAGAAAGGTCAGCATCAAAAAAATGTGGGGAATGTCTATTTACAGAAAAATATTTTTGGTCCTAAATATATTTATATTATTTCAGGCTTTTAAAAATTCAAATGCCTTTTACTTTGGACCTTTGCCTTCTCCCTCCCAAGAATAACTAACAAGAGCCAATTCCAACCCTCTGATGCACTGAGAAGGAAATGGCCACCAAAGCTACCAAGGATAACTTGTGATTTAGACCAGTTAAAAGAAGTGACAGCAGGAAGCTGTTTGACAGAGAAGCTTCTGTTGCAATGTTTCATGCTGATTTAAATGCCAGCCAATTCTTAGTATGTAAGGAGTTCTTACAGATATTTTCAAGAAAAGAATTAGGCAATAGAGACTAAAAATGTAATTTACAAAAGAAGAAATGCAAATGGATAATAACATTATTTGATGTATTACTGGTTACTAAAGAAATCCAAAAGACACAATGAGATTTTCTGGTAACCCATCACACTGGCAAATATTAAAAGGTTGATGTATTTAGTATTCATGAGGATGAGGCAAAATGAGCAATCCCTTATACTACTGGAGAGCAGTTTGTGAATACAATATGAAAATATAAAATGTATGTAATATTTGACCTAGAAAAGGGTCAATTATTCACTCTAACAGAATTAATTGGAAAATAAATTATGCTTGCTGTGAGATAATAGAAAATATATATATTGGTCTCTGCTCCTGGTTCCTTGCACAGAGCTCCTGAAACCCTTGTAAATTCCTAAGTGACAAGAGCACTATGAGCATCTCTTGTTCTAATATTTGGTCTTTGACCCTAGTTCCTGACACAGGGCTCCTGGAATCCCTGTAATTTCCTGGGTGATAGGAGTGGGTTTTGTTATAATGAAGCGACTTTGGGTGGGCTCTTGGATGGCTACAGAATGAGGGCTGGTCACTGGACAGACCAAGCCATGATTAGAAGCTTGGAATTTTCAGCCCTGCCCCTCATTCTCTTGAGAAGGGAGAAGAGCTGAAAACAGACTTAGTGATGGATCACACCTTCAGGATGCAGACTCCATAAAAATCCCAAATGTACAGGGTTCAGAGAGCTTCCGGGTTGGTGAACACTTGGAAGCGCTGGGGGATTGGTGTGCCCAGAGAGTGCATAGAAGCTCTGAGCCCCTTCCCACATACCCTGCCCTATGTATTTCTTCATCTGTATCCTTTAACATATCCTTTAATAAACTGGTCAACATAAGTGTTTCCCTGAGTTCTGTGAGTTGCTCTAGCAAATTAATAGAACCCGAGGAGGGGGTCATGGGAACCTCAGATTTATAGCCAATTGGTTAAAAGCACAGGTGAAAACCTGGACTTGCAATTGGCATCTGAAGAGGGGTGGGGGCAGCCTTGCAGGACTGAGCCCTTAACCTGTGGGATCTGACACTATCTCCAGGTAAATAGTGTCAGGATTGAGTTAAATTGTAGTACACCCAGCTAGTGTCACAGAGAATTGCTTGCGGAAGCGGGAGGGAGGGGACCCCTACACATCTGGTAACCAGAAGTGTCAGAAGTGAAGTGTTCTGTATGAAAGTAAAGGAGAGACACATAGGAGGACTGAGGTTTCCCAATACACTGGAATATCTATACACTGAAATACTACATAGCATTAAAAATGATGGTGAATGTTCACTGACCTAGAATTGTATTCATGATACTTTACCAAACATAAAAAGGTTACTAATCAGGATGTATAGTATGATCACATATATGCAAAACTGTGTGTTTAGACACAGATTGTTTGGAAATTCACTAAAATATTAATTAAGAATGACATCATCTCTGAGATTTCACGTGACTTCTACTTTCATTTTGCTATACTTGTTAGCATTGTTTAAATGTTTCACAAAGACTAAGTTTCATTTTTTACAGTCAGAAATAAATAAGCAACGAGGATGACTTTGTTTTAAACATGTAAGAAAGTATCCTTTTTATATATTTTATCCTTCATAGAGGATAACACAAGTGCTATTAGGTAGCAAACGATCTGACAGAACTCTGTAAGAACCAACCAGTCTATTTTCTACCCCTTTGTGGACCTCTCAGAATGGATTCAAAATGCCATGGTTAAAAAAAATAAAAATGACACACAAGAGTCTCTCTATATTATATGCAAAGGAAGACAGGGACTTACACACCTAAATAATCCACAACATTTTCTCCTTCATTAATTTAATTTCCAAACAAAGTAATTAGCATGTTGCAAAGTTATTACTGAGGTGCATATCAACTCCCTATGAGCTGCAGCAATTGCGTTCTCAGAAGAAAACAGACCAAATAATTACAGAGATTTAGATAAGGTTTTTAAAGGCATCCTTGAAGAGGCAGATTGAAAATGATGAACACTCTCTGCAATTTGTCTGGTGTAGCTGTTTTTTGAAGTTACCTTAAGAAAAGGCTGGTCTTGGGTTACTACACTCCCTTAAATTTCAGAGATTTTTTTCAGCCACTTTGCCTAGAGACAAGTCTCTGCTGCTTTGGGTGCCTTGTAACTTCCTCCTAAGTCCCTTTCCTAGTCTTTCAACCAAGTGCTTACAAGGACTGTGATCTCTTTACCCAGTGGCAGACTCTCTACATAAGGAGCATCTAGGCACTTTAAGCATAGCTCCTGTCATGCTTCCCAGGCTCTAAATCAAATGTAATAAGAGAAGATACTTTTTCCTTAAGTAGAAATCAATCATTCCCTTATCAGTGGCAACCTACCATATGTTCAGTACATTCAGAGATTTACCGTCAAAAATGAAATTGAATTTGATAGGTTTTACTTGATTTCATTAGGTAAGAAGTTATTCCAAAACTTATAAATGAAGTCAGAAAAGACACAGTATTCAATTTTTACTACAGTGCTTGTGTGTAGGTGTGCACACATACACGTATACAAACATCCATAAAATATAGGTAGCTATGGTATGAAATGCTATCACACACAGTTAAATCATAACAATTTCGTTTTCCAAAAGAACAGAAACCACAGACCTTTAGCTGTTCATCTACAACTCTTGTAACTTCTCCAGCCATTGATTCCAGGGTCTCCTGAATTGGACTGGATAACAAGCCACTGGCTCCTGCCCAAGACGCACCACCAACATGGTACAAATTTGGTAACAACTGTAAGAAAAAATCAGTGACCTCTCCATAATTAATTAAACAAATAAACATTTAAATAAGTACCAAAAGTCATTACAGAGTTAGTAAAAAGGGTGGAGAAATATTATTAGGGATAATCTATTCTCTATCAAAGGCCCTTTATACAGATTAATAAACTGAGGTTCAGCTTTGAAGCCATAGGAACAGTACATTACCCCTTTGCGCCTTCATGTCCTCAACTGCGGAATGAGAGTATTTGACTAACCCATCAGGTTCCTCCCACTCACAACATTTAATGATTGTGTGATTCTTACAGCAGAGCCAGGACCAAATATCCCAGGCTTTCTGACTCCCAGCTAATTCCTTCTCTACTAAGTCATACATTGGGGATCAAATTCTAATTAGAGAGAAGCTTCCTTTTAGAGGTGACTGGGGAGTTTCATCCTATCAGCTTGGAAGCAGAATAATTTTAAATGAGTTGTTACTCATTTAAACTACAACTACCTCTCAGTTATTCAGGACCTGATTACATCCTTTGCAAATCACATTGGCCCTCTGCTTTTTATTCTATATTTTGATTATTGGTCATTAGCACAGGAACAAGAAGGAAGCAAAGATGAATTCAGTTCACTTTGCCACTTGTTCATAACCTTGGAATTGGGGGTGAAGGTAGAGAAAGTTGGAACTGGTTTCTAAAATTGAATTCTAAAAAATCTTTTTATTACATAAGACACTCAATGTAGCCTGAAGTGAAACTCACCGTTTTAGAGTTCTTGGCATCACGCATAAGCCTTTCTGCTGATTTTAAATCTTCCTGGACAGCATCTCCTCCACAGTTTCGTAAAGAGTTGAGATGATCTTGTACTTTCACACATATTCTGTCAATCATCTGCTCCACACCATAAAAATGCCAGGAAGCATCCAAGTCAGCAGAGCCAATATTCAGATAGAAGGAAACACAGAAGGAATGAGATGAAATCTTCTAACTGGAATCTTGGAGAAGGCAGCTTATAGCCGATTATTAATTTGTCTATTCATATAAGAAACTTTTGGCAACATTAACTCCAGAAAAATATTTAAGGCACTCCGGTCACCTTTCCTGCCTTAGGAAATGCAGCATGTAGAACAAAACTGAATACTTCTTAATGATGCAGAATCTCATAGCTACTCAGTAACACTTTGCTAAATAGTAACTCTCCTTCATTAATTTTTATTGAGTATCCTCTGTGCATCAGACATAGCGCTGGGTACTGAGGAAACAGAGAAATGAAATGCATAACTCTGAGACTGTTGAGATGACTATAAAATGATGACCACAGCCAGTTGCTCTCAATATTATTGAAGCCAGAACACTCTGGAAGTTTTTTCTTTTTTTGATTAATTCAATTATATCATGTAGTTTTCTATACAAATTAAGAGTTACCAAAAAAAGGAAAAAAAAAGAAAAAAGCAAGTTGAGGTTTTATTATATTAAGAAGGGTAATAATAAAGTTAATAACATCTAGTTTCTGTTCCATTAAGGTCTATCTCTCAAGTTAATTACGTCTGAATCATTTTCCAATTGTTCCATGAATTTAAACACAAAACCAAAGGGCAAGCAGTAGATCACTATTGCAGACAAAAAATATTACAGAAGGATATGATTATATCCGTTTATATTTGTATTTATAGAGAGAAGCATGAAGAAAGAAAGGAAATCTGAAGAAAAAGATTACAAGAGTATGGTTTAAAAAGTTTCTCCAATGTTCTGATCAGAAGTGCAGGTTATCTATTTCATGTTCCTAAAAAATTAACTCTCCAGAGACCTTACATATCAGGAGTCCCAACCCATCTGATAATTCATTTGGCAGAGGTGAGGTAACAATCTAGCAATATTCTTTTTTAATTCAAAATAAATAGATAAATGAGAATTTAAATTATTTGGCATAACAACTATAGGAAACCAAAGTCAGCCCTCCTTCCCCCATAAATTCCACGACAACAGAAACTTTCCTACAGTGCTCAGAAGACCTAAGGGCTAAGCAGGGCCTGGGTCTATTTGCTGTAGCATCTGCATCTCTCTCATCTTTCTCTTTTATAAAGTCAGGTTTATAACATCTACCCCATCCTTTTTTCTAGTGTATTATGAAGACAATCCAGTAAAATACCACTACTCAAAGCACCTGTTGATGAAGGGTCAGTAATGCTAACGTTGATGTATACTAAGAACAGCTCCTGTAACTATAAAATGTATCGAGGCCACATTAGTGAACTACCTGGAGTTCCCCACAGGAAAAAGAATATGAATATATGAAAATATATGAATAATGCTTCTCATACCATATTCTCTCTCTGACTAAGATCTAACCTTCTAGGCAGGGATCATGTCTTAACTTTGTGCATTCACACAATGCCCTGCAGAGAATGAACTATATATTTTTAAAAATCATCTTAATTGATAGAAATTCTAACTCTCCTAACTATTGTATCGATGTGCTTCCTGAAGGAAAAAATGGCCATCAATAATTCATATCTTCCTAAGAATGAATACCTAATTTCAAGAGACAAAATAAACCACGTACTAAGTGAAGAACTGTTATACATCTGAGGCCACAAAAGGCTAATTTGAGAGGCATGTAGATGTGGCCGTATAAAGTTGATCATCTTTAATAATCATGAGAGACCAAAGAGACTCCTGAAATGTGAGCCATTAAGCATCCACCAAGGAGAGAGGGTTTAAAAGAAGTCAACAAAATAGTCTTCGAGTGGGACTTTTTTAATCACATCCAAAAGAAACATAAAAATTTGGTTCTTCAAAGAAGACATAAAATCTCACAAGTCCCAAAGATTCTCCGGAATGTGCACTTGCTAAGGTTTAGCACAGTCCAGTAGATTACAGACGCTTTACAAACACATATAGAGCTCAAGGTCCAGAAAAGTTAAACTATTTAAGATGACAGAATGATTACACAAAATGCAAATGGAAAATCCTGAAAAAAGAAATCAAGGATTTTGACCGTCAGTTCATACTCAAGTCTCTAAGGACACCAATGTGAAAAATAAAGGAGACTGCAATGTGAAAGACTGTCATCTCTTGGGTAGCCCCATCAAAGATCTCACCATAGATCACTGCACCTTGGCTCTTTAATTTAACCTTCCGACTTCACCCTCTCCTCTTTAATGTTCCATTTTTCCAAAGCAACCCAGAAAAGATGTTGGTCGCCATAGTTTGAGCAGCTCACTTCCCTCCAAGGAAATGTACTCTCTCATTCTCAGACATGGTCTTCTTTATTCTGAGTCCTAATCTGTCTTCACATGTCCTTCCTACAGGTCCCATGTCTTCCCCTTGAGGACACTCTGAACAATCACAAGCTCTCTTCCGGGTGACAGTCTCACACATGCTTAAACATTCTTTCCTAATCTACTTTTCCTCAGGCTTAACATTCCCAGTTCCTTTTACCATTCTACAGTGACACTATTTGGCAGTCCCTGACCCTCCCCCTGCCCCAGGTAACTTCTCTGAATTCTCTCTTCCATCTAGGATCCTCATGAAATATAGCCCCCTCAATAAAAAGGATTGCAACACAGGAGGAGTGTATGGTAAGCTGAACAGGGCTATCACCTTTCTAACTGTAGAAAGTATACTTCCATTCATGTGGTACAAGTCAAAATGGCTTCTTTGGCAACTAAATCACATCACTAACTCATATCGCACTTGCTGGTGACTACTTAGGCTTTTTCAAATATACAGGGATGTAGAACCCAAGTGCAGGACCTAGAACTATTAGCAGTAAATGCCATCTTGGGTTGCTTGCAAATTGTTACAACTGTTCTCAGTTCCAGCAAATAGCTTATTGACAGAAAATTTTATCTTCCTTCCTCCTCATGTCTATTTCTTTTTTCAATTCAAGAGAAATATACTTAACAGCTATCATTCAATGAGATATAGCCCTGAATAACATACACCCTTTGCCACCAAGCAACTTAAAAACCTAGAAGTGGAAATAAATATTCATAATCAACAGTAATACAAGATATAAAGTGACACATAATATCCACAAGGACATACACATTTTGCTCACTGTCAAAGCTCCATTTCCTACAAGAGTGCCTGCCATATGATAGACCCTTATACATGTTTATTCAACGAAGAAATGAATGATAGAAAGTTCTAAAAGATTTCAGCCAAGGGATCACATCCAGTTGAGATTGATGACAGCTTTATAACTGAGTCCTGAAAGATTTCTACAGATTGAGAAAAGAGAAGGGAATTTTAAGCAAAAGAATGAATAGAGGCAGTGCACATCCAGACACTTGTGATTCCTATCTCCTGATTAGGAACAGAGGCACTTTATTGCGGGAGATCAGAGAGGAATGTTAGGTTAAGGCAAGACAATGGAAGACTCAGGCACAGGCTTAGAGTTTGAACACAGTGTGCAAGGCCCAGAGCATCTATTCTCCAGCTCCTCCCACAACAGTGAGGGTCGAAAAGTCCCATGACACTCAACACTCATAGTGACTTGGTTTCCCTGACTTATAGAAAGGATATGGGCTGTAGAAAGCAGAGGAGACATGGAAGATGAATAAACTAGTTCCTGTAGTACTTGTAAAAGAAGAGGTAGGATGGAGTTACTAAGAAATACTGAGCAAGAGGGTTGGCAGTAGAAATGGAAAGAAAATAACAATGGCAAAAGAGACTTCAAAGGTGAGTGGGCAGGGCATAGTGACCACCAGATGAGGAAAGCAAATGAGGCATTCAAGATGACTCCTGGGGCTCCACCCTCAGTGAGTGACAATGTCACTGAGAGAAATGGTAAGATCAGGAGTTCCAAGGGATGTTTGGTTTTAGTGACCCTGATTCTCAGAGGGCCACCTGGATGGAGATGCTGAACAAGTAGTTGAAAAAATAGGACTTTCTGGAAAGAAACAAGAACTTAACAGATAGATTCAAGAGTCATCCACAGATGAGAGAGTTAAAATGGTAGAAGTAGAAGAGATAGCCAAAGGGAAAGAGTACTAAGTACAAAATTTAGGAAAATGGCTGCATTTGGAAGACGAAAGGACAAAGAGTCATGCAGGTAAGACACAAGAGCAGTGGAAAGATATTCAGAATGGTATCCCGTCAAATGAACCAGGAAGTGAGTCTCAAGAAAGATGAGGTGGTCGGTAATAATGATGATGATTGTGATAATAAAAATAATAGCAGCAATACAACGTTTACTAGTGAGGAGCCAAGTACTTCACATGCATTAGCTCATTTAATCCTCACAGCACCTTCTGAGTCATCTTCCCTGTTTTACAGACGAAGAAATCAAGGCTTAAAGAATTAATAAGTGACTAACACCACTTCACACCAGCAGGGAATAGCAGAGCCTATACTTAAATCTGGGTCATCTGACTTGAGAACCCACGTTCCTAAGCACTACACATATTGCCTTCTTTCATCAAAAGATGAAGAAGGAGGGGCTGGCCCAGTGGCCGAGTGGTTAAGTTCACGCACTTCACTTCAGCGGCCCAGGGTTTCACTGGTTCGGATCCTGGATGCAGACACGGCATTGCTCATCAGGCCACGCTGAGGTGGCGTCCCACGTGCCACAACTAGAAGGATCCACAACTAAAACATACAACTATGCACTGGAGGGATTTGAGGAGAAAAAGCAGGGAAAAAATAAAAAATGAAGAAGGAGAAAAGACCCCTGGACTTGGTGACCAGGAGACATTGAGAGAGCCATTTTGGTAGACAGACAGGAACAGAGGGCACATTTCAAAAGGTCACAAGGTGAATGGGTGACCAAGAAGTCATAAAAGTATAAAAATCTGCACATGAAAGGAAGGAAAGAGACTAAGCAGAGTAAACAGCTCTAGACAATAAAACTGCCCCTTTTTTTCTTTTTTTCAGGGTAAGAAAACTTAAGAGCAGAGGTTGGCAAATTACAGGTGATTCTGGACCTGGTTTTACAAAGTTTTATTGGAAGCGCCACGTTCATTCCTTACATATTGTCTAAGGCTGCTTTTGCTTTACAACAGCAGAGTGGAGAAGCTGCAGTGGAGACCATCCAGGCTGCAAAGCCTAAAATATTTACTATTGGTTTTTGACAGGAAAAGTTTGCTGACTCTTGATTAAGAGAGTTTATGAGATGGAAAAGAAGAGATCAAAAGCAGAGGTGGAGAGTTGAGGCTTATAAAGGTCTTTCCTAAACAAAGACAGACGAGACAAAAACAAATACATGAACAGTTACGGGCTTCAGCGTTTCATTAAAACATTTTCCTTCCTTCAGGGTCACCTGAGAATGATGACTGGCTCTGCAGCTGGCAGGGCATCAGTCACAGAGGGTCTATTCTTTCTGTATTCAGATGTCTGGAAACTTCACTAAGAAGTTTCAATAAGAAGGAGATAAATCTCTCCTAAGTCTGAACATTGCTAATCATGATGTCCTCGGAAATCCCCAAAGTGAAAAGGTGGCAATATACCTACTACATAACGACTCAAATAATTCAGAACGATGCCATCCCCGCAGAATTAAACATCCGCATTATGCCTCCTGTGTACAATTTCCTCTCGATCGAGAAGATGAAACTTACTTTTAAGAATTGGCGGTAAAGGTTGCTGCAGTAATTTTTTTGGATGGACAAAATTCCCTGTGAGTGAGCAAAAGAGCTGGAGGGATATTGTATTAAGAAAAGCCTGCACTGGGGCAGCTCATAAAGGAGCCGAAGGCAAAGGTTCAATGGACGATTTTAGCACTCTCGTTGCTTTTAACGTTAAACACTAAAACCAGGAAACAACTGTAAACCATAAAGTACTAAGCCGATATCAGTCCCTTGCAGGAAAAAAAATTAGATTTTTTAAGGCATTAGTAAGGTGAAAATAATGTTTTCTTTCTCAAAACTCCCTGTTATTTCACCAATATTCATTAATTATTATTGCTCTTTTATTCAACACCTATCGCTTTACTTTTTCTTATATAAATAACACATGGTTGCGGTAAAGCATTCAAATAATACTGTGAAGTATAAGAAAATAAAATTCACTTAATCGCACCACCTGAGATAACCATCATTAACATTTTGGTGAACACCTTTCCACAAATCTCTATGCATATCTATGCAGTCGTCCATATAGTTTTACTTACTTGGAATATTATACGTGATGCTTTTATTACAGACACTTTTCTTTCATTGTGTTTTAAGAGAAAGCAACAAGAAAAAACTAAAATGACATCTGTAGAAGGTAAGAAAATAGCGCAAACCATACAAAATGACCTCAAATGACAAAGCTTCCCTTACTAGTCAGTTCTTCATCTCTGAGATGAACACTTTTGAAAACTTGCTTTTCTAATTCTTCCGGTGGCTTCCATTTTAAATTTAAATAGTAGACCCAAATTTGTGTTTTTGATTTATGAATTATAGAAAATATAGGTTGATTCCATGAAACAAAAACTAAAAATTTAGAATAATTATACTACCACTCTTCAACTCCTAATTTTAGTTAGTTTCATTACTTTTACATTAAGATTTCCAATATTAACACTTTTTTAATCTAACAATAATTAAGTTTTCCTTTCTTGTCTAAGTTGACATTAAAATTTTAAATCCACTAAAATGCAGTTACAGAATTATGATCATGAGATCCATTGAGAAAAAAATGTAATCTTATGTCTTTCAATCCTGCAGCTCAAAGCAGATTGTCCCAAAGTGGCAACTTTTAAAAGCTTTCTTTCAGCTTTTATAATCTGTATGATTTCATTTCCGCTACAGTTTCTTATTTATGCCTCACATTGTGTATTTTCTTGTTTTCCTTTGTTACGCTGGAGAATTTCCTCAAAAGCTTTTTTCATATGGAATATTGGGGGTAAAATATCTAAGTCCACATCTTAATGTATTTTTATTCTGTCCTTATATGTGTTTGATACAATGGCTAGGTACAGAATTCTTGGTTTGAAATCAATTCCCCTCTGAACTTCAATGACATTACCTCATCTCCTTCTAGTAATTGGACTGATGCTAAGAACTGGTTCTAGTTCCCCTATAACAGAACATGTTTAATCTCTCTGGAACTCTCTACGATTTTTTTTTTCTTTCTTCTAGGTGTTCCAATCAGGATACATCTAGGCGTGGGTCTTCTGCCCATTCATTTGGATCAATTTCAGCGGTCATATCAACCCCAAGATCCATGTGAAATGGTTTTCTATTATTTCCCCTCTTTTAAAATTTTTCTATTATGTATCTTCTTAAATTCTGAAGTTCCTGTTAGGAAGCTGTTGGTCATTTTGAATCTATTCACCATTTTGACTTACTTTTCTCTCATATTTTCCCTCTTTTTTACTTGATGTTCTAAAGATTTCCTCTACTTTTTCTTCCAGAGAAACAGCTTAATTTGTGTCCTATCCGCTTATTTAATTCTATATTACAGTTATCATATCCTCAATTGCTAAGCATTGTTTCTTATTCTCTGACTATCCCTTTTCATAGCAGCCTATTCCTATCTTATGGACATTCTCTCAAGTCCCACTGAATTGACTAATTACTTGTTTTTTATTTTTTTAAGTCCTCTGCTGTCCTCTGAATTATCTGAGCATGGTTCTTTGCTTTATCTTGCTTTTACATGCTACTGGTTTTCCTCAAGTATCTTATGGTCCTTAGTTTTGCTTGATATTTTTGGAGGAAAACATTTCACACTTTTTTTTTTTAATTATTATAATCTAGTTTTTCCTCTCTAAACTTGGATAGAGAGAAGAGGAACAAAATAAAAGAGAAAAGCACTTCAGTTTCTCTTCAGCACTTGTGTTAATTTTCAACAAATTCTTAATTATTCAGAAGAACCTGGGAATTTGTTTCCTACTCATAGAAGTGCGAGGGAATAGAGAGAAAGGGGCAGAACGTCTCCAAAGTAGCAAATTTGACTACCCTCAGATTTTACCATCTGTAATCAGGTGTTCCTAATATTTGCATATAAACTTAAAATACACTTTACTGACGATATTAAAAGGCACAAAATCATCAGCAATTAAAAGTGCACATTTAGCATGAGAATTAGCCTACATTTTCCTCCCTCTATATCTTGCCCTAAACTCTACTTAAATTTGTTGTCATTCTCAGAAACCAGTTCTCACTGTCCCAATGAGAATGATTCAAACAATATAAGTCCTTTGTCCCTTTGCTTTTAAAAGGGTCAGTCCAGCCTGAGCAGAAGGAGAAGCTACACGTGGAGAAGACGGGCGCCCTCTTACCTGCTGGGTGGTGCTGGTGACAATGCCCTGCTGGAGGCGGTAGGCCTGTTCCTGAAGGTATTTTCTGGTCTCATGATTCCGGAGCAGATAGTTTTCTATCTGGAAATTAAGCACATGTATCTCTCAAGAACACATCTTGACTCAGCAGACAGTAAAGTTATACGTGAAACAGCCAGCTGCTGAACCTAAAACCAAAGCACTAATTCACACAGCCTGCCAGTAACTTGACCCCACAAACCTGGGAGATGGGGAAAGTGGCTATCATCGTGAGGCATTCTTGGTGGTCTTAGTTAGAAATTTAACTTGCAGGTTAATAGGAGTGATTTTTATGTGACTTGGTAGTTGACAAAGATAAGCAAGTTATTTAATCGCCTGCAGGGTTAGAAAACCCCATTTAGTGACTTTTCATCACTTTCATGCACACAATTGCAATCTTTCTCTCTTGTGAATTTTTAACCACTAAATAGTTCAGAAGTTAAATAAACATCCCCCAGGAGTATGGATGGTACTCTATCCATACTGAACCTCTTAGCCTTATTCCGGTGGTACAATCCACCAGCATCTAGAAAATTCTTCATTTTTAAGGGGGAAAAAAAGACAAAATAGGTACAAAATTTGAAGGATACAGGCTGCTAAACTCAAAGGCATATACTAGTTTCATTAATCCCACCAGGTTTCTGTATTTTCTCAAAAACAGAACTGATTTTAGCAAAATTACTGAAAATAAGAAAACGGACTTTCACAGAAAATTAGAGATGTTGAAGTTGGTTGACAATGTGTATTTTTATACAGAGAATCTCCTATGAAAAATTCAAATGTACAAATGGTAAGAGATTGAAATAAAGTATTTAAGAAGAACAACATGCGAGAGATATACATTGAACAAAAATGTAGGGTTAACTATTGGAAATGATGGATACCTATGAAGATGTTTTTGAAAAAATGATTTGAGATGGGTAATTGTGCCATCTATTTTTTTTTCCAATTGTTGTTTTTGTTTGTTTTTAATAACACCACTTAACCATTTGGCTTTTAATTTGCCACTACAGTTCCCGGGTTAAGAACTTCTAATAACTGTGAGGCTCTCACGATTATTACATTTTCATTTTAATTTTCCATATGCTAAAATGACTACTACTTAATACTAATTAGGAACAATTAAAACATAGACTATAATTACTATCATCCCTGGAAACCGTAAAGCAGAACAAAGTGTTCCTTTCTACCTGAAACGAAACATCATTAAAGTGACACATTAATCCCACGAAATTACATTACATTAATTTTCTCTTGCTGCTCCCCAAGAAGTCATCTCTTCCCAAGGTGACATTAGCATCACTGTAAAGTGTTTTCGCTAAAAAAAAGATTCTTGCCTAAAATATGACAGACACAGGCTGCCACCCAGCATTGGGTGCTTTTGTTTTGTTACTTGTTTTACACTTGGCCTCGTTAAGCCCTGGCTGTGGGCCAGTTCCAAGAGCAGTCTGTTTATTTGGGAGGCTCAGCTCACACACAGGCGGTCACCCAATGCTGGCCCACGTGTTTCCAGACCTTCCCTGGGTGCACCAATAGTACTTCACAACCTAAGCCTGGAGGGAATTTTTTAGAAAAAAAAATAATATTCAAAGCTCATTTCTAAAAGCCAGGACAAGGGGAAAGAAGAATAACAATGTTTAAGAGTTATGTACACATCACAACCGAAAGTATTCACATCTTGCAATAAAGGGTAAACTTTCCTTCCATGCACCATTCCAGACCAAGGACAGAGAATCCATCTCCTAGGGGCTGAGGATGGAGGACCTGACTCACATCAAATAGCAAGGGAAGAGCCAAAAGTGTCATTATCACATCTGCCAGTACCCCTGGGCAGCAGCGACCCGGGAAACAATCTAGAGCCAGTTAGACATCTTCAGTCTCACTGCTGAAAACAGCAGCACAAGAGGCAAAAAACTTGTACTTTAATAAAAGAATCTTGTATTAAAAAAACATTATAAAGCTTGAGTTCAGAATCACAATATTGTCCTGTAGTAGAGTAAAATTATAAAGCCATATTTCTTCCAGAGGATAAAGTCCTGTTAAAACGAAAACTAGACTATGTAAGAGCATAGTAAGTATTACAGGAAAAAACCAATATGAGCTGTAAAGTCATCAATTCTTCGTTTAAAAAAACCACAAATTTTAGGGGCTGGCCCAGTGGCACAGCGGTTAAGTTCACACATTCTGCTTTGGCGGCCCGGAGTTTGCCGGTTCGGATCCCTGGTGCGGACATGGCACAGCTTGGCAAGCCATGCTGTGGCAGGCGTCTCACATATAAAGTAGAGGAAGATGGGCATGAATGTTAGATCAGGGCCAGTCTTCCTCAGCAAAAAGAGAAGGATTGGCGGCAGATGTTAGCTGAGGGCTAATCTCCCTCAAAAAAAAAAAATTCCACAAATTTTATAATTAACACATTTGCATACTCAGCATTTGTTCCATTTCTTCTTTTATCTTCCTCTCTTTTTCTGCCTTCTCTAGTTTTAAGCATACATGATTGCATTTTTCTCTATCTTAGCACATTAACTATAATTCTTTTAAAAATTTTTTAGTGGTTGCCCTAGTGTGTGCAGTACACATTTACAACTAATGCAAATCCACTTTCAAATGAAACTATCCCATTTCATGAGTATTACAGGTACCTTAGAGTACTACCAATTTCTCCCTTTCATCCTGTGTCATGTTGCTGTCTTAGAAAGTCTTTATTTCTCTTTTTCTTTTGAAGGAAAATTTCACTAGATACAGAATTGTAGGATGCTGGTTTTTTCTTTCCACACTTTAAATCCTTCACTCTGTCCTTACTTGCAATGATTTCTTACCAAAAGTCTGATGTAATTCCAATCCTTATTTCTCAGGATGTAAGGTGTTTTTTCGTTCTGGCTTCTTTCCAGATTTTCTCCTTATCTTTGGTTATCTGCAGTTTGAATGATATGTCTACGTGTAGTTTTTTTGGTATCTATCCTGCTTGGTATTCTCTGAGATTCCCAGATCTGTGGTTTGGTAGGGCTGTGATTAATTTTGGAAAATTCTCAGCCATTATTCCTTCAGGTATTTCTTCCATTCCTTCCTCTTTCTCCTTCTGGTATTCTCATCATATTGGATGTTCAATCTTTTGTAATTGTCCCACAGTTCTGGGATATTCTGTTTGGGGTTTTTTTTCTCCCCATTGTTTTTTTGGAATGTTTTTGCATTCCACTTTGGGAAGTTTCTACTGACCTATCTTCAAGCTCAATGATTCTCTCCTCAGCTGTGTCCAGTCCCCTGATGAGCTGATAAAACTCACTGTTTGTTTCTGTCACAGTGTTTTGGATCTCCAGCATTTTTTTCTGAGTTTTTCTTAGAGTTTCTACCTCTCTGCTTACATTCCCTGTTTTTGAATTTTTTTTTTTTACCTTTTCCATTAGAGCCCCAAATATATTAATCATAGTGATTTTAAATTCCCCATCTGGTAACTCCAAAATCTGTGTCATAGCTGAGTGTGATCCTGATGTTTGCTTTGTCTCTTCACACTGTGTTTTTTCTTGTCTTTTACCATGCCCTGTAATTTTTTCACTAAAAGCCAGATATGATGTATCTGGTAATAGGAACCAAGGGAATCAGGTTTTTAGGGTGAGGTTTCATGTGAATCTGGCTAGAAGCTGGGTTGCGTTGAATGTTTGCTATGGCTATATGTGCCAGAGTGTTTAATTTCTTCTAGTGTCCTTCTTTTTGTCTCCTCAGTTGTGTTGGGGTTTCCCTAGAAACTCCTTCTTAAACAGAGTGTCTTACAGCCTTGCTCAGTTGTAATCCACCGTTATTATACTTAATATGGTGATAAAGTGTTACAGAGGGGAAACTTTCTATAATCTTATGATTAAATTTAGAGTTTCTTTTTTTAGGTGGCCTGAGTTTCTGGGCTATGACCTTAAGAAGTGTTTCTTGAGGCTTTTTTTTTCCCTTCCTTCTGTGAAACAGGAAGCCTAGAGGGGGCTGGAGTTGTCTAATTGTCTTCCGTAAGGCTCTGGCAGACCAGTTTCCCTCGAGGCTGAGCCTTTGTTATGGAGAACAGAATGCAATGAGTGTATTTCAAAATGGTTACTTTTCCCCTTCCCCCTGCCAGAAACAGGAAGGGATTTTTCTCCAGTCTTTACCGGGATAACTTGGTGGGGCTTTCGGAGGTAAAATCCATGAAAGAGCCAGGGCCTCCCTAAGACTAGGGCCTCCCTAGGAGTTTTAGCTCTTAAAGTAGTCCACATTAGGCCTCCAGCAATTCATCAATTCTTGTTCAAGCATTCTTCTGAGTTACTGGCTCCAGTAACTTCTGCTCCTGGTGAGCTGATTTCACTTTCGATTCACTGTGATTCTCTGTATTCCCATCTCTCCAGTTTCCAGGGTGACAGTTTGCTTTGTAACCTCAATTCTCTGGCAGATCTAAGAAAAGTCACTGAGTTGCTGTTTGTTCAGCTTTTTTTCTTGTTGTGAAGATAGGAATGATGACTTCCAAACTCTTCACATGTCAAATCTGAAACCAGAAACCCAGTTTCTCTAGAATATATCTTTTGTTATAAGATGACTAATATCCTTTAGGGAAGTATAAAGATATCTAACATTTGTATGTTGCTTTATGGTTGACAAACTGCTTTCCACATATACTACCTCGTTTGATCCTCATGGTCACCTTAGGCAAATTACTTACTCACCTGTCCTTCAGTTTTCTTATCTGTAAAATGGGGATATAATAGAACCTATCTTATGAGTTTATTTTAAAGATTACAGGTGTTAATTTAGGCAAAGCATTTAAAATAGTGTCAGGCACCCAGTAAGACCTATATGTTAAGTGTCAGCTAGACATAGTAATTGAATAGCTTTATTTTTTGTATAGATGGAGAAACTAAAGTTCAGAAAAATTAAATAGCTTATTGAAGTTAGAAAGCAGAAAAGAGTTTGATTTAGTCAGATCTTCTGAATCCAAATCTCAGACGATCTCTTTTGCCACACCACAGGTTTCCCTCTTTGCTGCCCCCAATCTTACTCCCTTTTATTCAACAAATGTCTAAGGGGCATCCAAGCACACACGCCAGTCACTGTGCTAGCTGCTGAGAATAAAAAAGATGAAAAATACACAGGCTTTGACTTCAAGCAGCTCACAAGTTACTGGGAGAAAAAAATATGGAGGCAGCTAACTTAAAACAATGTCACAAAGCCAGTGACAGAGAGAAGCACAGGCAATGCTGAGAAGACCCCCTACCTAGGGGAATCAAGGGGCTTTGAGGACTCTTCCTGGCTGAGCAGACACTTGATTTCAATTTAAATAGACACGCATGGTAGTGGGGAAAGCATGAGTATCATCTAGATTAGAGCAGGGATTCTCAAGCTTTACAATCACCAGGAGAGCTTGTAAAGATTCTTGAGTCCCACCTGAGCTTCCAAGGCCCAAGAATTTGCATTTCTATCAAGTTCCCTGAGTTAGAGCAAAACAAAAAGTAAGTGTTGGTAATAGATGAAGTTGGAGGTGGATAGGAGGCAGACTCTGAGCAGAATTTCATGCCAAGGTAAGGAGACCAGGCTTTATCTCTACAGCTAGTGGAGAGGGATGGATTGAAGGTTTTAGTCCGTTCAAATTTATCTTGAAATAAGATGGCTATTTTTGACTGCAACATGGAAAACAAACGAGAGTAGAATAATCCTGGTGAGAGAGAATGAGGCTTGAACAAGGCATCTGTAACAGGAATAGAGCAGAGGAGAGCTAATGAAGAGATTTCTGCTATAGAATCAATCAACTTGGTGACTGATTAGCTAAGGAAGATATAGGAAAGGAAAGACAAGCTTGCAAGACTGGATGGAGAGTAGTATCACCAGATGAGAGAACAAAGAGGAAAAATTTCAAAGATTCCCTAAATAAGCCCATAGTAAAGGCAGAGTAGGCTTCTTCGGATGGGAAATATTTGAGCACATCTAAAAATGGAGAGAAAAGTAACCATAATCACAGAAAGAGAAGGATGAAGATATGGCAGAGCGAGGGGATGACTCACAGGGCAAGTTTCCAGCACGGGGCAGAGATGGTGGGGTCAAAAGCACCACGGACTACGAAGGGGGAGGTACCCATCATCCTCTGGGTTTGCCAGAAAGGAGGTGGAAATGAGTGTGGATTTAGACACATTGACAGACAGAGATGGTGAAGAGAGAGCTCAATAATACCCTCAATTTCTTGATGAGGAACGGAGGGATGGTTCTATCTACTGAGAATGAAGAGGATGAAGGTAGTGCTAACTGATATCCACTTCCACACATTCTCCAAAGGACAGACAGGAAGTTATCTATGCATGCTTAAGCTCCGACATGATGATGTTGTAAGAATGTTATTTTATTCCACTTAAATTTCATGGTAAGTTTTAGTCTTTCTTATTTTATTCCTCCTCCAGTCACGCATTATGCCAGTCGTGTTATAAGAATACAAAGTCAATGCGAAAAAAGCTTTAGAAAAAAACAAAGTACTGCTCATATGTTCAGAATTATTAACATAATTCAATTCAAATGTGAATTTATTATAATTAGGCTATTGATTCCTCAATACCTTCTGCAGAGCTTCTTCTGTTTTTTCAGGGTTTGTTTTCAGGGCTTGAGAAGCATCATACATAGGAATCGGCATAAATCTCAATGTGTAGTTCCTAGAAAAAGGAGAAAACAATGTTTATTTAAAAATAACTTCCTGTTGTTACCTTAATACAGCACTCTTTTTTAAAAGCCAAAAAGATAGTTGCCAAATATTTTAGGAAATTCTAAACTACTAGACCATCTTAGGCCCCTAGGTAGCAGATCAGCTTTCTTTTGTTTCCGTGTGTGCCGCACCACTGGCCACCTCCTACTGTCTTACAAAAGTGACACAACTTTAAGAAACGTGGTTTTGCTGTTTTGGTTTCAGTTTTTAATCATATCAAGAATCATATCAAGAATTTTCAAAATGAGACTGAAAAGATAGACCAAGAGAAAAGCTAGAAAAAAAGTTCCGCATTGACCATTTAGGTTTGAACCACCAGTAGATCTGAACATACCCGAATCACCACAGCGACTACATGTGATAGCCAGACCCAGACTGTTCAAGGAAAAATCAAAAATCAAAACAAAACACTTGCTTGCAAGGCAAGGACATTAGCATCCACAGAAACAGTCTGTTCAGGCTCCGGCCTCCCTTAAATAAACAAGTCCAAAACCAGGGACTGTCTTTAGAAAGGCTGCTGGGAGCGAGCTTCCTGCCTAGCTCCACACCCTGAGCTCTGCAGGTCCTTGCAGTTTGCAGTCAAGACCAATCCAAGTCCACCAGGCTCTAAACACCAATGGAGCAGCTATGGAGTACTGCCTCTGTATATTACCTCACCACCGCTGACTGGCTAGTTAGACGCAGAGCGCAAGGGTGAGTCACTTTTGTGGGAGGAAAACACACAGAACTCTGCATCTGTGTGCCGGCCTTTGCTCCTGACCCTGCTACAAACTGCCAGGTGCCCGGTCAGCCGTGAACACCTGCTCCCCCACTGCAAACGCGAGCACTGGAGCTCCCTCTCCCACCCCAAAACGCATCTGTCATGTCTACAACATGATGCTCAGGAGGAATGACATTTTGGGTCCTGTGGTGACGACTGGGGCATTCTCTCAGTGCACTGGTATCACAGCTGGCTTGCTTTAGGTCTCTAACGATAAGCAGCACTCACAGTGTGATGCTCATGGATATTTAGATGACTTCTACTGGAAGAGTACATTAACAACTAATTGCGAAAATAATGAAAAAATAATAAAGAAAACAAACAATTATCTTAATCATAACAGTAATCTTTTTAATCTAGATGGGCATTATCTAATGGAAAAATTGTTCTTCATCCAGACCAACTTATATGGTGGCTTAATGTAAAATAACCAGCAAAGAAGGGGCTGTTATTTCTGTAACTTCAATTTTCACCTTAGCTTTGTTTTAGCAAAACTGTTGTTTTTGGTTTAAGAGGAGCCAACCAACTGAAACTAAGAGACAGTACATCTTTTTTGCAGCCTTGAAGATTTTCCTTTCCCTCATCCAATTTTGATCATGCTACAGATCAGCCTCGTTTATTTAAAACAAATGTGGTTTTGAACCATTGGCATCTGGGAGGAGAGCGTATGTGACGGACTGTAATCCAGGGAGCCCCACCATCAGTCTGGAAATGTTGGTGTGAACGCTTCTGGCTTCTCACAAAGACCAGTCTGGGCTGTCTACAACATCATCATGGTAGCAACTGTGCTCTTAGCACCCAAATGCAGCTATTGGTAAATAAACGGTCCCATTTGGAGGTTTTGTGGTGAGGAGGAGTAATTATAGGTGGTTCTGCAGTCACAAAAGGCTCCAGGGACAGGTGGCTGTGGTGACTGGATGGTGTGAGCCGCCATCCATATTTAGTGACGGCCTGTGGTGGCAGCAACTTTGACCTCCTAGCTAAAGCAGAACCCTGGGATTTAGAATTGGAAGGCAGAGATATTTCCTTGACTTTCTCACTTTATAAACAAAGAATTAAACAGAAAGGTGAGATGCTTTGCTGAAGATCACAGACTTGCTGGTGACAGAGCTGGGACCTGAATGGAGGGCTCCTAATTCCAGCTCTAGGGTCTTATTCATGTCACCGTGTTGGGCATGAGAGCTCCACCTAGGAGGACTCATGCACGGCGAGAAATCTGGGAAAACACAAAATCATGAGCACACTCTCCCCTTCCCCAGGGGACTGACTTATATACTTCTTGCCCATTTCACACCCACATTTTGTCACGTCTCATTTTTGATGCTATATATCTGCTTTGATCATTCCTGCCTTTGGAATAGAATATAAGGATTGAAAAGCTCAGAAAGAACCAGATTTTTAGCATTTTTTTCAGCCAAGTTTGTATTATTATTTTCTCATTTAATTTACTGCAAGAGTCAACTCAACAATAAATAATAATTGCAGACTTTGGTTAGCAAGGTAATAAAGAAAGCTCTTTACAGTAATGAGACAAGTTGGCCCTAGGCTTGCCATTCATCAATTTCATTTTTATTTTCTGGACCTCAGCTTTCTTCTCACCACTGCATTCAAAGTTGTTGTAAAGGTCAAAAAAGCAAGATCCAGTGGAAAGAGATTGTGAAACCGCAAGAAGAAGGAAGCAAGGCAACCATCATGTGGTCCCTCCCCATGATCTCATTTAATCCTCACAACAAGGCAGTGTCTTTGGCAGAACAAGCATTTCTGCCCTCATTTTACAGATCAAGAACTCAGGCCAGCAGAAAGTAAATGTCTTTGCAGGTCCTGTGGCTGGTTAGCAGTAGACTACCTCAGACCCAGGTCTTCTGACTCTCAATCTATTGCTACTTTTATTACCCCACTGATAACACAGACACCATTGGTTCTTCTCTATTTTCCCATAAAGAAGTCCTAAATAAAACTTACTTTTCCATAGCAACGGCTATATCTTGAAAGCCTTGGGCAGTAATGTTGTTCTTGTCCCATATTACAGTCCTGTTTGAAAACCAAATTATAGAAATGATCAGACACTTAGCAATGAAAGAAACGATTCTCCCATTGAAGATAAATCTCTTACAGGTGACAACGTCTAGGTATTTTCATACAATGGCATTATGTGAGCAAGGAATAATGTTCATCTTTGTTTCAAACAAAGCAAGGATGAGCATTTCCCCCAATGTTACATTCTTAATACATTTACTGCTAAGTGGTATGAAAAAACCATACTTAAAAGCAACAACGAGCACATTAACGTACCATTAAGTTACCTAATGTTTCACTAGCCAGAAAATTCTAAAACCTGATTTCTCTGATAGTCTCCCAATAGTATTCTAAGTATTCATGTCTGAGGCTGAAGCTACTTACAAAAGATGCTCAACAGCCCCATGTCCAACATAAAGAATTTCAGGCACTGAGACTTTTTCCATTCTAAACAACTAGAGGGAATCTTGTCATAATTTCTTAGGTTTTCATCATTGCCCTGAGACAGTGTGACCAAAAATCCCAGGAACTTTGCTCACTCTGCAGGCTAAACCTCAATTACCAAAGATAGGAAGTTGTTTACTTTTTCAACACAAAACCTATTTTGGAAGAAAAGTATTATTTTACCTTCAGAATGTGAATACTTCAGAGGTATTTTAGGATTGGTCACATCGCCTGACACTTGAAATGGCTTTTATTTGTCTGAGTGATCCCGGTCTTACGACCTCTAATTGCTTTCCACTGCTCATCTCAATGACCTTTTTCCCAGCCACACTGACCTTCAAAGAAATTGCTGCAGTTTTTGGCTTTTGGTTTCATTTTAGACAAAAGGTTCAGACTCTGTCTTATGTTGGAGAGCAAGGGAAACATCAAGAAAGAGCCCTTGAAGAGCAATGTGAATTAACTCTTCATTCGGCAGACTGCTGGACTAGGTGGCAATCTGGCTCTCTCTGAATGACGGATGATAATAACATGGTTGCCACATAGCTAGGGCTTAAGAAAGTGGTTGCCACATAGCTAGTCCTCAAGAAAAGTGCTTCCCACACAGCTAGTCCTTAAGAAAAGTGCTTCCCACACAGCTAGTCCTTAAGAAAAGCCATGCTTCGGAAGCACTATGGATGAAAACCACTAAACAGCACAGTTAGCACCCAGTGTGAACTTGCCTTTGACAGTGGATCCCTTGGGTTTTAAGTCTTTATATTGGCAGGAGTAGGAGGGAAAGATAAGACGCCGGGCTCACAGCCAAGGACAGGAAGTCCCTCGTATTATTTCTCCAGTCTTCCCAGCTCTGCTCGTTTGGCACTGCCTACGGAACCCTCCTCTGCTCCTCACTGCCTTTCCCCACACATCGGTCAGCTGCGACACGGATGTGAAGCAGGAAACTGCAACAGCTTTCAGTCAGGTTTCACCTCACTGGAAATCTTTAAGACAACAGTTTGAAGAAATCACTTTGTCTAAATTTGGGAACACTCTCCCCAGTATTCCGACAAAAGACAACTGTCACCTCTGCTTCTTAGCTGGCCGCATGGGAAGCTCAGGCCCATGCAGGCAGAGCCAGCTCTCCAATGATTGCTGGTCAGAATCTTTTCCAGGCCTTCCTGAGAACAAGCGTCCACTCCTAAGGGCTGAGGGCCTGACATGCGTACCTGAGCTTGGTGTTGATCTGCAGTGCTTTGGCCAGCATCTTTGCTCCCATGTCCCCCATTCCATTCCCACTGATGTCCACTTTGGTCAAGGAGGTGTTGCTTCCCAGGGCATTGATGATGATGGTGACCTCAGTCTTGAGTTTCGAGTCAGCCAGGGACAAGGACTGCAGAGGCTATAGAGGGCACAAGAGAAAGCACTCACACTGTCACATCAAAACAGCCCCCACTCTCAATGACCCATTCCATGGAGAATCATAAAGGGGAGGTACCCACTGCACAAAGTGTCTGATTTTGAAAGCTCTGTCCAAAAGAACCTGATAAATGGGACAGAAAATGAACATAAACACTCTGGCATAAAATGAACATTTAGATTCAAACATGCAGAGGTTCTGTTTTAATGCCGACTACCAGCCACCTCTCTTCTAAGGGAAGGTGTAGGAAGATATCTAGAGTGGCAGATACCAGCTCCATTGAAGTGGAGGATAGGAGGAAATAAATTAAAATACTATACGAAAATTTCTGAGCTTCCGTACTGCTATACTATCCCTTTTTACCCATTTTACTGCTATAGAAGGTGAAATAACATCTTAAAATATTAGTAGAGGGTCCAGTCCTGTGGCCTAATGGTTAAGTTCGGCGCACTTAACTTTGGTGGCCTGGGTTTGGTTCCCAGGTGCAGACCTACACCACTCATCAGCAGCCATGCTGTGGTGGCACAGATGTTAGCTCAGGATGAATCTTCCTCAAGCAAAAAGAGGAAGATTGGCAAGAGATCATAGCGCAAGATGAATCTTCCTCAGCAAAAAAAAAAAAAGATAAAAGAAAAACCAACACTAGTAGAGGCCAAATGCAAAATAAAAACCAGCCAAGATTAATAATAGCTGACATTTATTGAACACTTACTCTGTTTAACCACTGTTTAAGCTTTCTACATGTATTTATTCACATAATCCTCCCAGTAACCCAATACTTGGGTATAATTATATTAAGCATGGTTATTCCTATCTCCCAAGTAAGAAACAGAAAGGTTAAGTGACTCAACCATGGTGACACAGAGAGTAGCTGAACTGGAACCACACAGTTTAGTTACAAATTTTGTGCTCTTAACTCTAACACAACATTACCCCTATTAGTTTATCCCCGATCTTTTTGATCACCACCCTTAGCTTTATCTTTTAAGTACCAATCAGAAGAGATACCTACAATTAAAAAAAAAAAAAGAAAAAGTAAAATGTGCGTGACGTTTTTAGAACCCTAAGCTGTATGGTGAATCCACACCAACGCACTTGCAGTCCATTTAAGCCAGAGACTGTAAGCCACTCAGCCTGGAAGCCAGTTTGGTTTGGCCTGCCTAGCATCTGATAAAAAAAAAAAAAAATGAATAGTACTCCCCACTTACACCCAGCTCACTTTATTTGTTTATGTTGCCCTCCTAGCCCTGTGGACATTTGAATTTGCTATCCTTGATTTCAGCCATAACTGAATTAACAAAGGGGTGAGAATTCCAGGACATGAAGTAATGTGGCTCTAAAAGTCAGATTTCAGACTTCCCTGGGGGTTTTGGACATCTCCTGAGTTGCTTGAGGTGGTCCATATTGGCCCAGCCACACTAAACATTTCTACATGCTTATTCCATAGCAGTGCTGACATCACAGGGTGGTGGATGCTGGATGTATCTTCCAGAGTCATCTATGACCAGGTTCTACAGTGGCCTATGGGATTGGGGTCTCAAGATGTACCTGGGTGGTCTGTATGACCCCCACACAAAGCCTGGGGTGTATGTGTGTTCACTCAACCATTGAACATTGACTTCCAAAGGACACCTGTTCGAGGCGCATCTGCCCAATGGCTGCAGGAGGCAGGATGAGGGTGTTGATGGTTTCCAGACTCAGATACCCACAAAGCGGCATTATGCATGTGGTCATAGTTTTACCAAGTGAATATACTTGTGTCCTTATAGTCCAAATTTGACCATGTTTTCTAAACTAAATACATCTATGGCAAAATCAAAAGGTAATACATTAATTAGAATCAAATCTTTAAAAGTTAAATGGCACGGTAATTAAAAGGCAATTAAAACCTCAGCCAAAAAGCCTGGATATGCTTACATTCAGTCAGGCTGAATGAGGTTGTTTCAATTTTCTTAAGATCCTACACTCAAGTAAATGGAAAAGACTTAACTAAAAATGCTGCAGGCTCAGAAAACTTAATGTTTTAAATAAAAATAAATGCAACGTTGCTTTAATAAAAAGCTGTAATCACGTCTCTCATCATTTCCACAATTTCTATTCAACTACTACAAAAATGATATACTACAGCTTCTTCCGAACACTGGAAAACTGCCAAGTCTCCAAGCTAGTGAGCACCAACTCCAATACTATATTCAAACTCTAATACACCCCAGTTAACACTTAAAAATAATAGGCAGAGTTATTAATGCGAAGAGAACAGCCTGAATTGCATGCATATTTATAAGGTCATCCCTTCTTGATTTATTGCACTTCCATGTAACATTACTACTTCTTTTCATAGCTGAAGGTGCTGAATCTGAGAATCTGTCTCCTTGTTACAGGCACTCCCAGGAAAATCACACTCTGTTCTATTGGTTACAAAACAGGTTTGTACGTAATATTTCAAAACAAGATTCCCTGTTGTCTTGGCCCCTCAGTGTTACCATCCCACAGCTCTGGGTGCAGCAGCCTGACAACAACTGTCTAGAGTTGCAGGTGACATCTAGGTTTTCCAGCTGAACGTAATGTGCAATACTGGGCAAATACAGTATTCCACGGACTGTCAAAGAACAAGCTTTACAAACACAAGGTCAGGATGGAAAAAGCAAAGAGAGAACTTTACATACGTAAAAACCTTTAAAAAGTAGAACAAAAAATGAGCCCAACTGTGCCAGGTATCGGTGGAATTTTTATAGTCACAAGACGTAACTCCCAATCATTTTAAATTGTTTTTGCGCATCACTATCGCAGAAGCAGGAAAAAAACAGAAGGTAATTGCTTTTTGAAAAAGCCGCCTACTTTTCAATGACACGAACATAAAAAGCTTTTCACTGTACATAATCAGCAGCACACTACTTAAACTTATAAACAGAATTCACATTTATATAGCAAATTTTACCATCTGCCGACATGTTTTTAGGTGTGTTTTAAATATCAAGATTATCTTTTAAGTGAGAGACTTTCAAAATTACAGAAACAGAGTTGGAAGACCCTCATGTAATAAGCAAAATATGAAATTAAGAAATATGTTTTTCATAAATTTTCCTAAAATATATGCTAAGAAACAATATTTGGCGGTGAACATTAAATACGATTCTGCACTATCAACTTTCCTGATCTTTTAAAACTGGGCCAATACTGGGAAATCAGAAGCTCAGATAAAGCAGGGCAGTATAAAGTCAAATTAAATCTGTAAAACAAACAGTATAAATTCTGAAAGGTGTAAATTACATTCTAATTATGCCCCTAATTTTAATAACCCAGTCTAATAGGAACAAAATATGGGGTTTATCGGCAAATGAGGACAAAGACAAGCGTTTTAATTCATTAAATAATAATGAGTTTCATTTCTAGCCCACAGGTTGGAAATTATATCCACACAATGAGGAGGCACAACAGAATTTTCTCTTGCCCTCCAGATCAGATCCCCACAAACAGGTGTGGGACGAGCAAGGAAAAGTTTTGGTCTCCATCTCTCCTGGCCCCTTAGCTTTCTCAGCAAAATTAGCTTACAGTTATAATAGAATTTGCTCTTACCCCATATGAATTCAAAAGGGAAAATAATACTTTTTTAAAAAAGTGACATATCTCACATGATTAATGTAGGAAATCACTCTCATGACCTACAGAAGTAGCTGTCACAGAACATGAATAATGTGAATCTTCATAGTAGGAATACCAATTGATTTGGATTTTAGGAAACATAAAAGCTGAGTTTGGTGGCCAAATAGGACTAAGCTGGGAAAGGGACAAAAATCCTAAAGAGCATCAGTAAAATATAAGGTGTGAAACACCAGGTTTAAATGAAAGGAATTAACAGTAGAGTGCTTCTGGCTTTGTCCATAAAATATCTTTCTTTTTTCTAATGCATTTTAAAGGGCAGCAAAATAGGATATTATTTAGAATTAAATTTCTTTACCCTGAACCAATTCTTAGTCACAAGCAGTAAAACGGATAAAAATATAATGATTACTAGAGCTCAAGAAGCAATGTAAGATGGGAGACAACTTTCCTAGTCTCTTATAATTCTGCGTAATTATTAGACAAAATTCAAATGAGCAATATGATGTTTCTCAGCATGATATAAGGTCATAAAGTCAACTAGATTGTAAAAATTCATGTCTGCAGATTAATGTATTAGGTGAAGTTAGGAAAGAGTATAATTTATTAAAAGATGAGCTTAGAAGTCAATTTATACTCTTTTCAGCTATTACAATCTTCCTTTAGTTAGTAAATGAGTTGAATGAAAAGTACGTAAATTTTCAATACATTCTATAACTACTAAAGCATATTTCTCCCATTTTTTAAAATAACAATAAGAGAAAATGTATACATAGATAAAATTATCTGAAGTGTATCAGCATTAACCCAGTAGAAATAATTAGTAAGAGTGGCAACAAACAAAAGATTTTAGGCAAAAGCTTTTCAAATACTCACTGATTCTTCATCTTGAATCATCTGTACTAAGTTGTCCAACACAGGTGTCAGATTTCTAAAGAGATTTTAAAGATGCGGACAGTGGAATGAAATCAAAAGCTTTCAGGAGGCTGGTTATTTTCATCATTGTCATAGAAAAAAAATTCAAAACTCTTACTTGGATTTCATATTATTAAAATTTTTGCCTAATGCCAGGTGTTGTATTGATCTGTTTTTACTGAGCCACACTATTAAGGTAGATAGGTCAGATTCTAAACCTGGAAAGAATCAGAGTAAGTGGAGAATTAAAACACATGCTTCTAAATGAATTCTCAGCTGGAACACAATAAAGCAAAAGTGACACGCCGTTGGGTGACTTTCCTGAGGGCCCTGGGTTCTAATCTTTTATTTTCAAAGGAACTTTTTGCTCTCTTTTCATGTCCTATTATTTCACAGGGATAAACTCATTCTCTACAAGACTTATCTAAATCTCTTATACAATCAGTGGCTAAATAAAGTCAGCAGGGATGGAGCACGGATAATGGCAGAAAATTCCACTTCTCCCCATCACTTTGTGAGGGAAGATTCCAACGCACTGTTCGCTGGTAAGTAACTGCAGTTGTCTATGCAAATTTAACAGGTTCACACTCACATGCTATTATAATCAGCAGAAACGAAGCTAACGAAACAAGCTTCTAAATAAATAAACGAGGGTTCAATTTTATTATCACCAAGAACGCAAAATGTTGGACTCAGATCTTTAACTTTATCAATGTACTGATGATATATATTTTTTAACCTACTCATTTTACTGCATAGACCTTGCATTTTTGGCCACGGAATCAACTTAGTAAGACTTTTTGGCACAGATTTATTCCATAAATAAATTCTATTGTTAAATTAAAAGGTTCTATTGGTCGAGAAGTAAAGTAACATTTTTATCAAGGTGTTGTCTAGATTGGGCTAGAAGATTATTTTCCCTTTACTAAATGCTTCAAATAATATTTCTATTTCTTTTCTGATTTCTGACTTACCATTGTCGGAGATGTCTAAGCTGGTGATGTTGTGGATTTCGGCAATGCAGCCTTCTAACACTTGTGCACCTCCCGATCTCAGCTACGGAAACACAAACCAAATATAAGGTAAAGGCTTCAGCTACTGGAGGATAAAGAGCCAGTCACTAGTCACTGCTATTTCTCATACCACATAAATCTAAAAATCATTAGAAAAAGAAACAAAAAGAAGATGGAGCCCACGCAGGACCACCACTGGCAAGGCACTGTCTGTCAACCCATAAGAATTTTCTTCATTTCTGACTTTTGGGAATCCAAAGAGTCCCTTTTATACATGAGAACATGTGACTCTTTTATCTGATTATTACAGATTTCAAGGTATAACTCAACCAAGTAGCAGTAAAACCACCAAAAGAGACAACACACACTAACTTTGAATGTCAAACACTTCAGGAAGGACCCATCCCTAATTGTCCTACAGAAATGGTGTGAGGTCCAACTGTTATAAAGTAGGTAGTAAACAGTTAAAGGTGAGTGCAAAAAATGATTTGTACAAACTCACTGAGCCACAGAATAAAAAGACATTATATTAATCTAAATTACTATCATTATGGTTGGCTTATAGCAAAACCAAAAGCAAATTGTTAATTTCATCTCAATACCTAATTTATGCCAAAAAGAAAGGCAACCTATAAAACCCAGTATTTTTCATCTTTTGACATGAAACCAAAAGCATATTTTATAGAGATCAGAATATCTTTCTATTTTCTATTCAGCAACTATTTGAGTCCCTACAATGTGTAAAGCATTGTGCAGAAAGCAAAGTTTCCCAAGCTATAGCCCCTTTGCTCAGTAAACTTACTAACAAGAGAGAAGAAACTACCATTTATTTGGAACTTACTATGTACCAAGGAACATGGTCATTTCTCAATTCCCTTAAGAAAATTAAAATTTATATAAACTTCCATACCAAATTTAAAATATAAAGTGCTACTTTCTACTTGTCAAGTTTTGATGTAAGAATTTAAAGAATTCTTGTTTCACTATTTTAGATGCGATATTTTTATGGTACCCTGGCCCAAAACCTACCACTTTCTCTGGCTACTCATATATTAAGCAGAGTTTTGAGCAGATCTTTGAGATCACTCTTTATTCAGGAGTATTTCGGTTGATGTGTTTAAATTCAGCCTAACTTTTTTTTTTCTTTGAGGAAGATTAGCCCTGAGCTAACATCTGCCGCCAATCTTCCTCTTTTTTTTTGGCTGAGGAAGACTGGCCCAGAGCTAACATCCGTGCCCATCTTCCTCTACTTTATATGTGGGATGCCTACCCCAGCATGGCTTGACAAGCCGTGCCATGTCCACACCAGGGATCTGAACTGGCGAACCCCGGGCCGCCAAAGCAGAACATGCAAACTTAACCGCTGCACCACCGGGCTGGCCCCCAGCCCTTCCAACTTTTTAAGGTGACAGCAAATTACTCTAAGGTGTCTGATGTGACCTCTGAAGGTGAGTGTCACTCAGGCAGACCTCCCAAAGAGACTGGTCTACATACTTCAGGGAAATCAAGACCACCCAACTCCACAGCTGAAAGGCTTCTGACCAAGTGTGTGGAATTATCGCCAAGAGTGAGCAGGCCACTTTCACTACTCCTTTTTTTCTTTTCCAGAGCTTTCCAGCTTATCCAAATGCTCCATCAAGCCCAACTTATCACGCCACCTCTAGACCATCCCTACTACCCTGCTACTCAAAGTGTGGTCCGCGGACTGGTGGCAGTCTGCCAAGTTTGTGGCCTGACATAAAATAAGTACAGAAATTGACTATAAATATTTTAGAAACCTTAGTAATAATAATATTAGGTCTGTTGTATCTCATAAGAAAAACTGAGGGCTTGTATTTTTTGTCTGTTTAAATCTTTGTAGGAATTCATTTTTATCATATTTTAGCAAAAGTTTATGGGTTATGACAAATCAGAAATTTGAAAAAAAAAAAAAAAAACAGGTTCTTCACCACAAATACTTTTGAGATGGACTGCTCCAGATCACAGCTTGTTAACAGCTGAAGAAGTGAATGTGTATGTACGCTACATCAAAGTTAAAGCAAGAAATGATTTAGGCAAACACTTCAAAGAAACAATTTGATTTTCAGAGCACGCAAAAACATTATGTTTTTCAGAATACAAACGTAAGTGCACAAGTCTTGACAATTTCATTATTTGCTGTTAGTGATTTCTCTGTTCAGAAGTAAAATTTCTACAAGAGAATTTCTACTTTCTATTATAAAGTACAGTAAAAATATTCCATCTATGGAAAATACAGGCAACATTTAAGTGCTCAATTCTGTTTATTATATAAATACTCTCGACTGATAATATTTGTAGCATACACCCATAAAACTAACATTTTCCAATTGTTAAAAAAATAATCAAATGTATCAATTTATGCTAATTTATTGATTCATAAGGTACTTACACAATGGCCAAGCTAAGGAAAGCCCAAGGAGAAAAGACAAAAAATGTTATCAGCAGTAAGCAGACTAACGGAGAAGATAAAGTCTCTATCAATACACAATGCAAAAAAGCAGAGTCAGAAAAAAACACTTCCAACTAAAATTTGTTCCCAAAACAAAAATCAAAAATTTAAATAAGAAAATAACTGATCTTCAGTTACCAAAAAATTTGATTGAATTCACCAGTTATTAGATGCCTAAAATTCCCAAAAAGCTAAAGCTTTCCTAAAACTGTAAAAGCTTTTCCATTACTGTAATGAAAAGCCTTTTAAATGAATTTGCATAATTAGAGGCTGTGTCTGCATGTGTGCGTGTAAAACTGGTTTTTAAATTACCCTCACTTAGATCTCACACACTAATGTTATTTAAAAGAAAGCAAGATCAAAGAGGAGTAAATGCAACGGAATCACTGAATACTTTTTGAATGTTAAAAATAAAATCACATTTCTTTTAAGAGGAAGTGTCCTCTCAAGGAAAGTGGAACATTTCAGATGTTACTCACAGTTCTAAGAGAATAGTTATATTTAACACGCAAATATCCGTAACGGGGACAAGAGAAGCAAAGACACTAAAATCTAGAGAGGACTTCTAATAATCCATTTTCCTTCCTCAAGATCACTTGCCACTTAAAAAGATGTGGCAAACATTACAAATTTAAATATAAAATAACTCCCCAAACTATCACTTTTCTTCAATTGGAATTCCAATTTTAATTTAAAAAAAACATAGTTTTTCATTCTGAGAAATTTTCTCACACAAAACTGTGAATATTGTAGGTTTCTCCAAGGATGAAAAATGGTTTGACAAGATCCAACCAAAAATGTCTTCTTGCTAGCAGGGTTTGATGCCAAAAGGCAATGTAGAACCTAACCAAAATATATATAAATACAGTGATTTCCAAGGTGCAAATGGTTGCATGTATTATATTGTTTCATATATGCTTCCTATGGTGAAACATTTTCCAACCTGCATTCCATACCCAGTCTAATAGGAAAGTGGTACACGAAGGGTACAGCAATGATGCCCAACACACACAGCAGATCCACCTTCTCATCTCAAAGGAGGTTGAACGACTATCAAATTGAACGGAATTGCCTCAGAAGTTTCTATTCACTTGCTGCAATGTCCTAACTCATTATAAATTTTAATATCAGGTGCTCTTTTCCTACGCATCATCAGAGCACCTTGCAGTGAATCGTGGAATTATGTGCAGCAACATTTCCCCTTAAAAGAACTAACTCCCACATCCAGACCTGCAACCAATCCTCGGCTATAATTAGCCTTTGCATCTTCACTAAACTATCAGAGATTTTTCTCTCTCACTTGGAAGAAGATTAAGCTTGAAGACTTTCGTTCCAGCACTTCTCTAGTCTTCTCTTGAAGTAAGACTATGAAGTAATAAGATTTTTAAAAACAGGCCAGAATGTATAGATTCACTGCCTCCTTTCAAGTAGACAAGCACATGGGGCGAAGACACACGAATGCCATTACCACCACCACCATATAAAACAGTTTTCAAACTCTTCTTCTGGAACCAACCTTGAGGGCAATGGAACACAAACATTCCTTTGAAGATCTGCACAGATGCTAAGTTCTTACCCTTTGAGAGAGAATTAGGGTCAACCACAGGCATTTCAGACGCAAGTCTGGCCAGAGCCGGTAATACCATTTTGTGTCAAAAATTAGGTGTGACTGTAAATTGATGAGACTAATTCTTCTTGAAAGATTTCAAATAGCTTTGAAGGCAATTCCAAAAAATGTTTTAGTAAAGACAATATTTTAAAGCTTCTGAATAAAACGTTTTAGAAAGGCAATACCAATCTCTGCTGTAATTTCTAACATTCAAAATAAGTCTCCTCTGAAGTAATCTCTGCCTCCCCAGATAATGGTTCCCATGTGCCAGGCTCAGCACTGCGCCAAATACTATCCCCACAAACTATTATAATCCCCGTTCCACAGGTGAGAAACAAAGGCTGAAAGAAAGTAAGTCACTTGACAAGCCAAGTGGCTGAGCCAGGTTTCAAACGGGGCCTTTTTGATTCCCAAGTGCCCGCCCTTTGCCATGTCACCCTTTTCCTCCCGTGACTACTCTGAGTCATGTTCTTACGGAAAAAAATTATTCCTTTAGGTACTAAAAGACCAAGGGAAAGAAAAAGAAATGCTAACAGAATTCATGTGAAACGGCTTTAGGAACACAGATGTTCTTTCTCTAAGTATAGACGTTATCTGTAAATGTAAGGTTAATTTCAGTACTTATTAAACTGATAAGAACAGATACTAACACTTCATCTTAGCCAAAAGGCCAAAAAGAGACCATTTCAGTACTTACTAGCTTAGCCCTCATAGATCCAAAAGAACACAGCCCCAAATTCTGGATTTAAGTTTCAAATAACAATGATGTTTGTGTTACAGGAAAGCAACTCCATAATTTATATATCTGCAAGGTACTTTTTTTTAGTAGCATGAAGTGTAAATCTCCTCTCTCATTCAAATTGATGAATACGAAATGCCTCTTTCAGGGGAATACAGAAATACCACAAAATACTACAAGGACAACTCACCAGGAAAGGTGAGAATGAACAGCAAAGGAACTGGCATATGGTAGAAACAAAAATAATTTGCTTAAGCAAAGTTATTCTAAGCTTCCAATTTAGACTTCCAATTCCAACTTCAAGGTCACTTTCTTCTCTTTTCGTCAATAAACTCAACCACCATCTTAGATGATGATCACTTACTTACCATGACACCCATACAAACCTCATTTTAAAATTAATCAGGGGACAGTAGTTGTTTTCTAATAAAATTAATTATCTATTATAAGTATAAAAAGACTTCAAGGTATTTCACATTTGTTCTTTGCTTCTATGGCTCAGGTACCCTGTAATAGAGGCATCTGTAGGAGGTGTTGAACTCATACAGTGCCCACGTCAGAAACTGCTCAACATTAGGACTCTGACATTTGACTCCTTTCAGGTCTGTCAGTCCCTCATCTTAAGTAAGCCATCCCCGTGGAAATGATTTCCCAAGATGATTATTGTTGTCAGGGAAAAGTTTCAATTCCCACCACCACAGGTTGGGAATTAATCTGATCATCAGAGAAGGTTAAGTGCTAAATTCTTCCATGATTTTGATTGGCATGCTAAGAGTAGAGGACATTATGTCTATAGCAGCTACACAGAGAATGAACAGAAAAAAATATACATACGCATAATTTTAAACTTCCAAGCTAGTGAAAGCTTTTTTCTAACAGCATTACACAAACTTTGAAGTAGTGAATGATTAAAGAGCAGCAGTAAAACTCAAAGTGCCAAGCATTCTATATGGATGATATTGTAACCCCAAATACCTTTCAGGAGAAAGGTTTACTATATCATAGAGATGAGCAAAGTGGAACCTAGTTAAATTCGGACATCTAGTCTTAAGAAAAAAAAAGGGTGGAAAAAAAGATGACAAGACACATTAGGAAAAATAATTCTGTGTTTCATCAATTTCATGAGCAGCAATATAACACATGACTTTATAAATGTGGTCACCAGTACTGTGATCCAAGCTATAAGATGGTAGGAGAACATGGCACTAAGATAGTTTTAAGGGTTCCCCATCTCAACAGTATCATCTTATCATATAGTCCATAAACAAATGGCCAAACTGAAGTTAGAATTATCATCATACTAATGCTCAATCCTGCCGTTAGGGAACAATCATTTGATCTGGATTCCTATCTTATTAAGAAAAAATTTAAAGGAAAAAGTCCACTAGCTGTTCAGTAGAACCATACGAAATTGCCAACAGTCTGCCATTTCTGACCTACAAAAATGTCAATTTCATGCGGGTCACCTAATATAACTGTCTTTGAAAGTTATTCCCAATAGGATCCCAAAGGAGTTGAGAGAACAAGCTCTATAGCAATATAAGACAATGTTCTTTGGGCACATGACCCCTATCAATTTATTTGAGAAGAAAATGTCTAATCATACTTAATATCTGGATTGGTTATTTTTTTTAATTTTTTTTCTGAGGAAGATTCACCCTGAGCTAAACATCTATTGCCAATTTTCCTTTTTTTTTGCTTGAGGAAGATTAGCCCTGAGCTACCACCTGTTCCACTCTTCCTCTACTTTGTATGTGGGATGCTGCCACAGCATGGCTGATGAGTGGTGTAGGTCCGCCCCGGGGGATCCAAAAACCGTGAACCCCGGCTGCCGCAGCAGAGCACACTGAACTTAACCACTATGCCACAAGGATAGCCCCAATCGTACTTAATATCTAATAATTACTCATATTATCAACAACAATCAGGAAAACATACTTTCATTGTGGCTCTGCCATTAGTGAGTTGGGTTATTTCAGCTTCTTTAGACCTCAGTTTCCTCATCTATATGAATGGGATCACTTATTTCCATTCCAGTTTTGATGACAGAACTAAATGAAAGATGTTATATTAGCAGCAGTCATCATATTTAATCAGGATAGTAAAACCACTTATAGGCCACTGCTAATTCAGTAGTTTGATCTAACAGAGCAATCAAGTTTATACCGACTTGCTTTTTTTGATAGAATAACCCTTCCCATCCCATTCTTCTTATTCCTCCTGCCATAAAAAAATTATTATTGGCAAGTCCGTTAACAAAGTGCTGGTAAACAAATAATTAATTCATATTACTAGAGTTGGTTTCTGTTCTATGGTCTTTCTTTATAAATAAAAAAGCATTTATTTTCACATGAAAACTTCACAATGCAGGGTTAGCTTTATAGGGGTTTGGGTTTTTTTTGGCTTTTCTTTTTTCCACACAAAAGATTAGCAACCCACACACAGTTGGTGTTCACTCCAGCTCCAAATGAATTTAAAAAAATCCTGCACTAACAATTTACATGATACAATTTCAGACTTGTCAGTTTCTAGAATTTTCAAAGAGGTAAAGCATTAATCTTCAATATTTAGTGTTGGCTTAGGTGCCCAGCATTTTGGTAGGAGCTGAAAACATAAAACAAAGTAAGACACAGATATTGCCCTCCAGAAAGTTACAGCCTAGCTGGGAAAGCATACAGGAGACAATTTAATAATTGTGCAAGGCACTATGTGGTTCAGTGTTCAAATGCATGTCACCACCACTAAGTACTAGGCAATTAGAAAAGGACAAGATCATAAAGGGTTGAAGCAGTCAGGGAAGAAATTCAACAGATGGACAGACAGATAAGAGCAAATAAACTTTATATGTACCAGACACTCTCAGCAGCACTTGTCAAAAAATAGCTTCTCTAAACTTCACAACAAGGTTGCAGCACTAATATTGTCTCCCTTTTGCAGATGCAAAAATTGAGATTTAGTGATATCAACTAATCCATCCAGGATTGAAAACTGGGATCGAACCCTAAGAGTCTGATGCAGGTAGGGAGGAGACTGGACTCGAGCTAGATCCTTCAAGAGAGGGACGCCTTGGAGAAGAAGAGGGACATGGCAAGAGTGTGCCAGGAAGAGACAACATTGGGCATAAAGACCCAGGAACAGGACTGAAGAGACTTCCACCTCCAGCCCTGAGAAGAAGACAGCAAGTCTGACATGCTAGGTAAAGTCGGGCTCCAAAGAGACCGGGTGGTTTATACCTGGGTATTTTCTTACAAATGTAGAGGGGTTTAGTCTCAATTCCTCTCTGCGTTCATTGATAGGAAGTGTTTAGAATTGCTGTAATTTTGAGAAGTATCTTAATTTTTCTGTTTTAAACCAAGACATTAAAAAGTGAAATTCATAACAAGCCAGCCATTCCTTTCATACTCTCTAAATTCAAGGTAGGTTATACACACTTGCCCCCTGCAAGGAATGCTGTACAGTACACTTTTCATGACAGCAAAGCTAGTTGATGACTTTATATCTCAAGGCTCCAGCATAGAATACTTAAGCAACTGGCTCCAAGAAGGGGGGGAAAAGTCATTAAAAACACACTTGAATGCTTTCTGAATGGTGTTCCATGGCTGTTTGTAGATTAAACTTGCAAAATACGGAACATCAAAAACTTCTGTAATGTGTGTTTTTCTGCTTCATTTATACCATCTAGAATCACAGTATCACACTTTTTCCCGGAAAAAAACAAAGCAATTTTCAGGCTCTTATCTATGCTAGTACATACTCTTAAAGATGTTCTTACCTCACAGTTGCTGAGATCAAGAGAAACCCCTTTCAAGTTGTGATTACAAGCCAGGCCCAATAACAGCGCTCTGAGGGGAGGAAATACACATTAGACACAAATTCCACACATCACACTAAGAATTTGTAAGCACACTGAATAAAGCCCAGAGAAAAAAGAACGCCTTTTCTGAATCACAGGTCAAAAACGATCTCACTTTTTAAAATGCCAACTGCATTTCTGCCTCCCAACAGCAGTGAAGAAAATGACAGCGCACATTCTTCTGTTTGACACGGAGCAGATCCATCATAAATGCAAAACCCGACAGGATTGCTATTCCTATGCAAATAAACCAACAGTACACCTAATTGCACATTGAAATTAAATTGTGTTCATCACAGATCAATTCCCACCTGCATCTGCTGGGAACACCTTTAATAATGTTTAGAATATTATTAGGCAATTGTTATTATAATAGCAAAGTAAAGCTGGTTTTCCCTAAGGAATGTTAGTGAGGAAGTCAGGCTCCACAGTATTCCAGGATGTGAAGTTATATCTAGATGGGTTTATTAAAGGGCCTACAGAGCAGGGATGGGTAAGGGTATAACAGCACCGGAAATAAGGAACAGGTCTTGAGTGTGAGTTCAGCATCCTGCCTGTGTGTCTGGCTACTAGCTGGTCACAAGGTAAACCACATCATCGTCTCAAAAGGAATGTTCTCATCAGCAGATTGAGGAGACTGGACTAATCACTGGGATCTCATATCTCTAAGAGAGTGAATTGATTCTACTCTCCTGACTCTGTCCTATGAAATCCAACACCATTGAGCAGGCTTGAAACATAAGTTTCACACATGCACACACATCCATTGAATTACACTGAGACGGGCCGGCCCAGTGGAATAGTGGTTAAGTCTGGCACAGTCTGCTTCAGTGGCCTGGGTTCACAGGTTTGGATCTTGGACGCAGACCTACACCACTTGTCAAGCCATGCTGTAGCAGTGACCCACATACAAAATAAAAGAAGACTGGCACAGATGTTAGCTCAGAGCAAATTTTCCTCACCACCAAAAAAAAAAATTACATTGAGAAGACACAAGGCCCTCAGGCAGGCCCTGTAAGGAATACAAAGATGAGCACAAGAGGGCTCCTGCTCTCAAGCAAGGGAAACAAGTATGTGTGTAAATAACTATAATACAAGGCAGACAGTAGTAAGAACTAGAGAGCAGAACTGAGGCATCTGCTACCTAGGGCTGACTACCTGTTCTCAGTGTTCCAAGGAAAAAGACCTGCACCCAGTATACTCCAAAAATACCCCAGGGTAAGGGTGAGGTGGGAAGGTAAGGAATTATTTCACGGCAAAGTCTCTGAGATTTTCCCCTCCCAGTGGTTCTCTGGCCTCATCCACCGAGAGAGAACCCCAGCAGTGGGCGTGGAGCAGAAGAGCTTGGCTGCTCCCAACTATGAAAACAACCCCTGCAGGAAGAAAGCTGGAGGGCAGTGCCTTGCTCCTCATGCCTTTAATCCAGCTCACTAGCCCCTTATTCCAAGACACTGTCCTATGAGAAAGGCTGGGCATATCTCATCTCTGTGCTTGCTTCTGTTCAACTACTTAATAAATTGTTTCTTCTCCTAAAAAGTGCTTTTTCCCTTTCTTTCTTGCGGGTAGTAATGAGCTGCTGAAATCGATTGGGACTGAGAACCAAAAGGCCAGTCCAGAGGTCCCGGTTCTTACTAACAGCTGGGTGGTCTCAAGCACATCTTTTTCTCTCTGTGTCTCAGGTTCTCATCAGCAAAATGGGAGAGTGAGGACATTACCAAAGAGGTTCCTTTTATTTCTAACACATGCTGAGTTTCTAGGACTTAGCCACATTATTTCACGTTGTATTCTTCTAAGGTTTAGATGGAAGGAGACTTCTTCCTATTTTCTGACTTGTAGATTAAGACCAAGAAAACAAATGGTGTGCTTTCTGATATTTAACTATAGAAGGTCGATGATTAAGAGGTAAAGACTCATGAGACAATACAAATAACCCACAGAAACTGTCCTTAGTAAAATGAAATAAAGCAGAACAACTATAACAAAGCATAGCAGGCACTGGGGAAAAATTCTACAGCAAGATATGTTATTTCTTTTAACCCAGTGATGGAAAAACTGCCTTAACAATTATCCTCTTGATCCTCAATCATTAGTGCAAAATTGGTTAAGAGAAGAATTTGTATTTAACTTCTCAGCTCTATGTGGGGAAAATATGTGATGCTATATGTAATTCTGGAATAGCACATTTAATAGGTTAATTAAAAATACTTGGCCAGGGATATGGGGTCGGAGAGAAAGGGTACTACGTGGCAGGGAGGGCAGGAGGACAGAAGGAAGAAGGGACAAGGGGGAGAGAAAGCGAAAGAACAAGAATGAGCAGTAAACAGGAAATTAAAAACCAGTCTGAGTGACACTGGAGCAAGGAGCATCCTTGGGACACACATGAACTGCACTATTCCGGAGGTTTTAGGAAACACCAAGGAACGGTGTCACCATGTTCTTTAAAGCCGCTTGAAACACTTTAAGATGGACTAAAACAGCCTCCAAGGAAAAACATAACTGTGAAGTAAGCAGTTATATTCTTTGTATTGCTTTCAAAGAACCCCAAATTAAGAGGGAAAATTCTGCAAAATATTATTATACCCAAACTTAAAGTGTTACTCTCAAAAGAAGTCGCATTTCTTTAGCTTATTCTCTTAAGGCCACTATTCCTCAACCCTTTAAGAAACAAAGGTGTCCTCCAGCGCTCTTGGTGCAGTGGAGCGAAGTGTGTGCTTAGGAACAGTACTGAGCCAGAGTCAGCTGTGGGGCAGCGGGGGCCACTGGTACGCACCTCCCAGAACCCCCTTGGCTATCAGTCCTCCTTGGGAACTGCTTCCACTGAAGAAAAAATGCCTTGAACAAGGTCACATCTCTTTCCAGAGGCAGCCTATACCCAAGGACAGATCAACACAGGGGTATAAAGGCCTAGTCTCCTATCTCAACTCAGGACAGCTCTGTGAAGGGCCAATCCAGCAACAAAGCTCCCATGAGGTTGGCAGAGGCCTTCATTTTGAAGGCGTCTCCCTTCAGCATCCCCTCTGTCCAATCCTGCTTTCTTCCCACCTCCTCCTCCACAGAGGGGATTCCAAGAGCACTTCCTGATAAATACCCTACATGCTAATCTCCATCTCTAAGTCTACTTCCCAGGAAACCCAATCTGTGACAGTGAGTTCTGACAAATTACTTAGCTTCTCTGAGCCTCAATTTCCTCACCTGTGAAACAGAGATAATGATACCCTCCCTCCCACAACTGTAGTCAACACCGCAGGTGACAGTCTCTATATAAGCATCTAGATTGGTGTCTAGCTTAGGGTAGTGCTTTGCAAGTTCCCTATCATCCCCACCCCCTCAAAGGTAAACCCGAGCACCTCAGTTTTGTGATGACTTTTCAAATTATAGTATCACATTAAAGGTACATACGGAATTTTGTTTACAGACTCTTCAGCAGTGAAGTCTTTTGCCCCACATTAAAATTTGTACTGAATAAAACATAGACCTGAAGAGACTACATTATTAAACATCCATATAAATAACAACAGGTCACATGATTTAACACAAAATAACTTTGAAGTATAACATTTATAAGTTTATAGCTATAATAAAGTACAGTAAATCCAGTGTTGTTGTGGTATGGGATATTCTGTAAAATCAACTACGCTAACCAGTGAAGAGCTACTCTACATTTAAGAGGGATCAACAATATTAAAAGAATTAGACAGGGGGCCGGCCCAGTGGCCGAGTGGTTAAGTTCTCACGCTCCACTTCAGGGCCCAGGGTTTCACCGGGTTCGAATCCTGGGTAAGGACATGGCATCACTTATCAAGCCATGCTGAGCTCATCCCACATGCCACAACTAGAAGGACCGACAACTAAAAATACACAACTATGTACCAGGGGGCTTTGGGGAGAAAAAGAAAACAGAATAAAAATAAAAAATAAAATCTTAAAAAAAAAAAGAATTAGAGGGGCCGGCCCGGTGGTGCAGCAGTTAAGTTCGCACATTCTGTTTCAGCAGCACAGGGTTCACCGGTTTGGTTCCCGGGTGCGGACATGGCACTGCTTGGCAAGCCATGCTGTGGTAGGCATCCCACATATAAAGTAGAGGAAGATGGGCACGGATGTTAGCTCAGGGCTAGTCTTCCTCAGCAAAAAGAGGAGGATTGACAGCAGATGTTAGCTCAGGGCTAATCTTCCTCAAAAAGAAAAAAAAGGAAAGAAAAAGTTACAGTACCATGTACCTAGGACTAAAACTATTTTCAACATGGTAATGCTAATCTCTCACTGATACACTGAGGGCAAGGACTAGGTCTGGTTTTGCTTTACTACTCAGTAGTGCCCTTGTGGTCTCTAGCACATTATAGATGCTCAATAAATACTAGCCAAATGAATAAGTAAAGAAGTGTGATTAAATTATAATGGAATCCCTTTAGAGTATTGATTCTGATAGCCTTATTCATATCCATACAAACAGCCTAGTCATGAGGCTTTTACTATTCACAGCTGTGACATTTAAAGACCTCTAATACTTTAATTCAATATTTTTTTTTAAAAAGCCCTGCTATAAGATTTTGTTGGTTTTATTTTAGCACTTGACTGGATCTACTGTTCTTAAAGGCACCCATTGTTTTAGTCACACAACACTATGTGAAATACTGTAATCAAGAGCTTTGCACCTCTCAAAAAAAAAAGACAATTTACAAATTAAAGATTCATTTTCTAGCAAAATGAATAGCAGACATTGATTTTAACATTTCATACAAATTACAAAAGAAAAATTAAATGGTGATTTACATGTTAGCTAGGGAAAGGAGAAATCTGTGCATACATCTGAGCATATCTGACAACATACGTAACTACTTGAAAACATGTCCTTTAGACTCAAAGCAAATTTAATTCTATAGCCCATGTACACTGAATTTTTTATTATTTCTGGGAATGGTGAATAGAAATTTCAAGTATAACAAATTATTCTTAAACTTTAATTTAGCTAAAAAGTTGAACTTCACCACTATACCAACACTACGGACATTAACCCATAATATAAGTTGGCTGCCAAGTAAAAATACCAAACGGATGATCTATACTGACCTGGATAACTCAGAAACCAAAGCACCTAAAAGTTGATTCTGTTGTATACACATGTGTATAGAGTTTGACTATTACTGTTAGTAGAAACATTTCGAATAAATATTGGTTAAAACACACACACACACACACACACAAATATACCTAAAATGAACTGAACAGAGATTGATATAAAGGCAATGGCACCTGGGAACAAAACTTTTATAGAAGATCAGTGACTACTACCAAAGTCACAAACCAAAGAAAGCTATTTTTTTCACAGAAGATGCAATAATATCAATAATGTACAATGTACTCAAAAAGATTTTCATTTCCTTTTGTGCTCATAATAAAAAGGCATTTTCAGCCGCCTTGTCTGCTTCAGGATTATGCGTCTTTTTCCCTTCCCTCAAGCACATTCATAATAACAAATTGAACTTTAAAAGGTCTGGAGAAAATGAACTAACCACTCACTTTAAGGGCTCAGGAGATAGTTTTGTGCCTGAAAGGTTGATCTGCATCAGAGCCAGAGAACTACTAAAAAACTGCTTGAAAGACGGGGGTACTTCTTTTCCTTTCCTGCAAAACAAAACACACAAGTCACACCAGCAGTTACCCGTCCCTCTGAGCGCCCCGCTTCCAAATTGACAAAACTATCCATCGTCACTCACTGTGAAATAAGCCGTGAATCAGTTACATTTTCAGTAGAAATTTAAAGGTAAAAAGAAACAAAATGCCTGAAACCTAAATAAATTAATTCAACACAATTAAAGGAATGATGTGAGAGAAGCTAAGATATCCTGTTAAGTCTTTATAATATTTTATTCCTATTCTTCGTAGCCCATGAACTCATTGTGTTCTATCCCTAGATCTTTAGAAAACTCCATGTTTGGATTTTTAAGAAATAAGAGGTCAAAGAAGATGTATATTTCTCATCAATTTAAAGAGCTTTCCCACTGAGTGGCATCGAATGTTAAGGATCGCTACGTGCATCTGGCAATATTTTCAGATGCAGTAAGTCTCAGATGCAACAAGATTGTGACCTGATGTCAAGCTGAGGAACAGCATGGAAAGTCTGACTGGGGGCCGGCCCAGTGAGGCAGCGGTTAAGTGCGCATGTTCCGCTTCGGCGGCCCGGGGTTTGCCGGTTCGGATCCCGGGTGCAGACATGGCGCCGCGTGGCAAGCCATGCTGTGGTAGATGTTTCACATATAAAGTAGAGGAAGATGGGCGTGGATGTTAGCTCAGGGCCAGTCTTCCTCAGTGAAAAGAGGAGGATTGGCAGCAGTTAGCTCAGGGCTAATCTTCCTCAAAAAAAACAACAGCAAAAAAGAAAGAAAGAAAGAAAGAAAGTCTGACTGGCATGAAGCCTGCATGACAAATATCCTGCTCAGGTCTTATACCCATACCACAGATCTAATAATTTCAGGCCAAATATTAGAATAGTTAAAGACAAGCTCCAAAAGGAAATGGCTATAAGCTCCATGCTACTACAGCGGGAAGTTAGTGGATCAAATTATACAGCTCAGCAAGAAGGCAGTCAACACCACAGTACGAGGGTTTGAGAAAACAAGATTCCAGAGTCACAGTTGGAATGTGAACTCTTTGCTTGTTTTGTTCTATCTGACAGGATCATTGGAAGGACTGAATAGGTCCACATAAGCAAAGCACTTAGCCTGATGCGTAGTAAACACTCATTTACTGGCAGTCATTCCTGTTCTGCGGAGGATTCACAGACTCTCACAGCAGAGGCCATCTTAGTGGTCTAGCTCAACCACGTAATATTCAACAACATTTACTATACAGAGATCCAGGGAAACCTTTCAATATTTGAAAAAGCTTTTAAAACAGGACAATTTCAGGCTAGTTGAGAAGAAATATCTAAGCAATCAGAATCTTTATTTAAAAAGACGAGAAAGAAATTTAAGAGAAAAGAGAATTCTGGTGGAATATATATTAGACGTTTCAAACAACTCTGGGTCCAGATAGTAGAACAATATAATATAAGCTTGTATATTCCTGTTCATTTTTTGATGAGCAAATGTTGTTAAATTATTCTTTGAATATAGTTCTCCTCCTGTTAGTCTGTCACGGTGTTAACTCTTCCAGTGTTTGCAAATATTCACTGCCCCTTTCTGAGGCAGGATGCTCTGTCACCCCACTGGTGGCAGGCTTGGCCGTGCAAGTCCCTTTGGCCAATGGGATGTTAGCAGAAGTGACATGTGTGACCTCCCAAGAGAAGTTTTACCAGCCAGTACTTGCACTACCATGATTCTTTTTCCTCTGCTATGTGACTGTCAACATTCTAGAGAGAGGCTGCTCTGCCTCCCAGAGTGAAGACAATGTGGCCAGCCCACAAGAGACATGTCACAAAATCATCACTGCCGAGGGGCCAGACCGGTGGTGCAGTGGTTAAGTGCACACGTTCCACTTCTCGGCAGCCCGGGGTTCGCAGGTTCGGATCCCAGGTGCAGACATGGCACCTCGTGGCAAGCCACGCTGCGTTAGGCATCCTACGTATAAAGTAGAGGAAGATGGGCACGGATGTTAGCTCAGGGCCAGTCTTCCTCAGCAAAAAGAGGAGGATTGACAGCAGTTAGCTCAGGGCTAATCTTCCTCAAAAAAAGAAAAAAATCATCATTGCTGAAAGCCAGGGAGATGGTGGTGGGTTGGGGTGGGGGGATGATTTGTTACTGCAGAACAACCTGACCTTTCCTGACTGATACATTTGTGAAATTATCTGTGAACAGAAGTCTGAATAGCCTGGCTAACGATCCACAACTCTGTGTAAATGCAGCAATTTCAACATAATTACTAAAGGCTTTCTATGATTATATCTAGGTAAGGCACTGGGTATTAAACAGTTTCATCACAACTTTTCCTTTGAAAGCAAGGCAATTTGTTAGCACAATTCTGCTCTACAAGCCTAATAGTTCTACTCAAGGCCAGGCATCACAGCACACACAGTATTGTGATCTCAAAAGAGTTGATGACACAAAACTCTTCACAGTCTATGATATCATCTTCCAGCTCAGCTCCTCAGTCAATTCCAGCTCCATCAAAGCACGGCTTCACAAGCTGCCTGCAAATACACGAGCTGACTGAGTGGTCTCTGTTAATATGCTCTAAGGCCCTCAGAATAAAGTATCTTAGACAATGTTCAACTTCTCCTACTATTTTACATCCTAGATTTTACACTCTCTGATCTTATTCGATTGAGGTACTTGTGGCATACTTTTCCTATTGTGAAAAGATTTACATCACTGTTGAAGTAACAGACCATTAGTACTTTAAAATATAGAATAATTCATTTGTGAGGTGCAATTGTAGAATAAAGCATGCTGAATAACTGAATTTTCCAAATAAGTGAGACTTATCCCTTTGATTACATAAAACTTTTAAAAAGTTAACCAATAAAATGGAGCTATTTCTAATATTAAGCAATTTTCCATGTTATTAAAATGACCATATAATGACCAAAATATTGCTTATGATTTGTGGTCATAATTACAAGTGCTAAGTGTTGAACTGTATTAATATAGCGGATGGTCCCAGAATTCCAGGTTTATACGACCCATGTACTTTTCATAATTCCTTTCCCCATTCTAAGTTGCCGCTCTGTGTGAACACCTGCTGCTCTAATCTACTGCCTCATTTTGCAAACAATTCTAAGTCAGCAGGGCAGAAGTGAGGTCCCTAGACTAGTCCCCCACATCCAAAGGTAAAATGCATGAGCTTTGGGATGACTGTTCTCTTTGCTCCCCATAGGTAGTTTATACTTAATTCCAAGTTCATCATTAAGAAATACCTGTAGAAGTTTCTAAAAGGGCTTTACCATATTAAGAGAGAGTGCTTGTCCGCTTCTGAGAAACAGTACATTATTATATAGTTCACACGGGCAGGCTAGAGCTATTGATAAGAACATCAACCTTTGGTGAAAAAAGATAACAAAAACTTGAACTTTCAAGCCTTAATATTCATAGATAATGGTTTAAATTTGTCTCCTTCTTCCATGTGCAATATTTCGCCCTTTATCATTCTATTCTCATACCACTGCAACTTTCTCTGAGAGCAAGACACACCTAGATGATAATGAAAGCAGGAATAAATCCATACCGGTGAGAAAAGACAGTTCTGGAGAGATTGAGTACAGCTAAATATTGAAGGCATCCACGGAGAAGAGCTCCACAGACCTGAGAAAGAAAGCAAGTCACGCTTATTTTCAAATATTTATAGGGCTAAGAGAATATTTTATTAGAAAGCAAGCCCCTTGTATCCCATCTAAATAGCTGTTTCAAGACCCCCAGAGCAATATAAAAAAATATTACCATGTCCAGGGAACATTCTGTATTGGATAAGTCCAGATGAGCAATGGCGTTAGGCTGAGCCAAAAAACTGTACATGTACTTGAAATCAAAAACAAAAACAAATTAGGATTTAGAAACACATACACACACACACAATACAAGCTAATATTTTCAAATGAAATTGCCCAAATCCTCCTAGAATCATTTTCTACTCTTCCCAAGAGGATTTGCAGAATTTTCTGTCATTGCATTACCTTCGCTGGGAGCAAAAATCCAAAGAATATTTAAAATAAAATTATGTTTAAGTTAAAAAAAACAAGGCCAAATGGGATCTTGGCTACCAAACCCCCTTTTTATTACAACATGGCTTCGTTTTCCTGATGAGCTCCATTTTTATTATACAATTTTGGAACAGTGCTAATTAATTTTAATTGCTGAGATTGAAATACCACCTGAATTGCAGTCACCCTATCAAAATGCTAATCACTGCTGAAAGTGTTGGAGGAACCACTAATGTGAATTTGAGAGTCTCAGGCTATACCCTCTTCTATCCAACACAATGATTTTTCTATTTTTAGTTACTTCCAAAATCTAACAAGGTAGGGCCTGACAGCACTATTAGTTTGTTTTTGTAATTTCACATATAGCAAAGACACTTCAGGTTTCAGGAGGTCACACTGCCTAAACTCTCCCCAACCCCCCATGCAAGGCCATCAAAACAATAAAATTAACAACTCTCTGTTCTTCTCGATTCGTCCTGTGTGAGTGGCAACACCAGAGTCCACCAATGGAGTCCAAGCTCCTGTCACCGGGTAAATAGCTAAATTCTCTTTTGATTCCCTGGATGCCATGAGATACTTGCAAAGACAAACTTAATACTGACACGGTCCTAGTCCTCGGCAGAGACTCCTAAGTGTAGCAGCTTAGTTACGTGATGCTTGAGAAATATCCTCTCTACCCAGGAATTCAGAAGAGCAAAAGATCAGCCTGTACATCACTTCAGAGTGACCAGATACACAGAACAGACTGTATTAAGGGAAGCTGATTCAGAAGAATAATTTTGTTCTCACTTTCATGAAGATCTCACTGCTTCTCTGTCTCTGTCTGGCACTGTTTTACTCCTGGCCACCAGCTAGGGGAGCTCTAATCACCCTCAAATGGTGATAAGTCCCTACTTGGCCAACACTTCTCCAAAGAGACAGGCCCTGCTAGGCTGCTCTCTCTGCAGGCACAGGGCCTGGAGAGCCCCTCCTTGCACCTGCTGCATGGCTCCCAGAACCTCAGCCTGCCCAGGGCTAGAAGCCCACTCTCACTCAGGCCTCTTCATTCCACTTCCCCTTCCTCAGAGGCAAGCTGGGACAAGACCCACCCCTGGATGGGGAAAAAATCCTGGGCTACTCTGCCATCTTGAATGACTATTAATGCCCCTATTTTAGCAGAGTCTTATTATATAATCTTCAGGCTCTTCTTTTATCCCTCTTTCTGTTCCTCTAGTTCATCACTGTAACGTTTTGGTGGTTCACATCGGACTCCTTGTTTGTTTCATCTGGGGAGGGAGGACATTTATGAATCATCAGAGAAGGTGGTGACTAAAATTGGACAATGTGTTGAAAAGTCATAGCGTACTAGAAAACAAGTATTATTGAAATGATTTCAAGTGTGAGGGAGAGGGAAAAATCTACAAAAAGGACTTTGGCAACATTCCCTGCTTTACATGGAAAGTAAAACAGGAGAGAAATGAGAATAAATTTCACAGTGTTTTTCACCCCCATAAAGCAGTGGAATGCAAACTAAGGTCCTTCGAACATGTCCGCCTGCTGTAGGCCTACTGGTAAGGGAGCAGTTCCTCTAAATGCCATTATGGTGACCAGAGGGGGACCACTCACCACATTTAGTAATGAGATGATACCTAATTCACTGGATCAAGTTCTGCCAAACATTTATATTACTGATTCAGGTGCATGAATAATCTTGCTACAAATGAGGGGAAACTTTTTGCCTTCACACAAATTTTAAAGAGCTGTCCCAGTTTACTCCTAACTCCCCCTTCTCCCTACTACATTCATGAAACAGCCCAGGACTGGAGTTTAGCCCAATATCTCCTTTCAATCGCAAACTATAAAAAACCCACCATTCTTCCCAACAATATTATTGAGTGATGAAATAACTCCATTTACATTTCCAATCTTTCTTATCAGGCAATTTTAACAGGTACAATAATGTTTTATAATGAAGAAAGAAATTTCTTCAGAAAAAGTATTTCCAAAGAGAATTTAAACTTCAGCAACATTAAGTGGGATGGGGGGAGTGGGGGGAGACAGACTTATTGATAGACTATGTTTAATTTAGGAAGGCTCCGGAATTTTTCCCTAAAACACTTCATAAGCTCATAACAAAATGATTTTTAAGGTGTTATGATAAATGGATATGCAGGGAAATAAGTTAGAAAGCCATGTTGAGAAATTATTCCAGCTCCTTTGAAGATGGCATAAAGGAAAGGAAAACCTACCGAGAGGTCATCTCCACGCAGGACGTTCCCTGAGAGGTCTAGGTGGGTAAGGGTGGTGGCAGTCAACAGGTTGGCACTGAGTGACTGAGAAAGGCTATTCACCCCTGCAACAACGAGAAGATCCAGGCTCAATTTCCACTCCAGGAAACAAAATGAGGCTTGTGAGTTTCTATAAATGGCCCAGCAGTCCCCTCAAATTGCAGGACTGAGGTTAACCATAAGCACTGTCCCCAAAAGGTAGCACTATGATTGCCCTTTTTTTGACATCCCCTCAGGAAGAACAGGTTAGTCACAGACAGAACCGTCTCTCTTAGGAGAAAGAAATGGATCAGCTTCATTTTGCTCCACTTCTTCTGATGTAGATGGACAGGATTTTAAAGCAATCTAATTGATCATTTCTACCCTTTTCTTAATCCTGCCAGGCAATTCTTGACTTAGCATATAGTATTGAAATGATGCAGGTGCAAATTCAGATACTTTAGGCTATTTAAAGTACTTGGAAGTTAATACAGGAATGCACTGCTCTACTTAAGGTAGTAGATTCAAGGAAAATTTTAGACTGAAATGGATTTTACAAAGAGTGAGAAAATGATCTATACACAATGTAAGAAGCAATTAAAAAGAAAAAGTGATCATTTTGACACTCTATATACTATTTACATACATAACATTAATGGCTCAAGTTAAAGTCAACTGAACTAAACTGTTAATACCATCTCAGAAAGCAAAGAATGAATATATGAGGAGGACAAGATTATTCTGTGAAAGAATCCACAACTAAAATATACAACTATATACTGGGGGGATCTGGGGAGAAAAAAGAGGGAAAAAAAGATTATTCTGTGAAGAGAGAGCTATGTTCTCTTATACGTGGGTAATAGTAATTGAAACAGGCCTGCTAATCAAGGCTTTGTAGTGGGTGAATTTTCATCAGGCCACTTCTTCATGGGGGAGCAGAGGCTCTAGGAGATGTGTGACTACAAAATAGGAGCCCACAAGAGTCTGGTCACTCACTGGGATTCAAAGAGGTCAATACACACAATATCACTGATGATGATTCTTAAGAAAACAGGGACGTGGGGTATAGCAAAGTTCTTCATGTTTCTATTAAAAGGCTACAGTTCCAATTAGTATATCTTGGAAATATGACTATGTCTAAATTGGGTATACTTTTATAAATTATTTTGTTTTTCTTGTTTTTTAGTAAAATTCTTTTTGAATATTCCAGCCTGACTCTACCACCCTAAAGAGAAACAGGAAAGGGGGTTTTTGTCCACCTTGGACAGAGCCTTCATCCAGATAAGAGGTCAGGGTCAGGCCTGCCAGTGAGAGCCAGAACTGGTCACGGCAGCAGGATCTAATGAGGGCGCTCCAAGAAAAAACCTGAGGGTTATAAACACAGTCCTGCACTAGAGCAGTTTAGGTGTTTGGTGTGCGGTACTCAGGAAGGTGTGTGGTACTGATATTATCTTATCCTCCAGCTTTGAACAGTTACAAAGAACCGACTCCAGTGTGTGTCTAACAAAGGCTACTGAGCCATCTCTCAAAGATGAGTGCGCATTTGGGTATGTAGACAGAAGAGACAGAGGGGCAGTGTGAAAGATGTTTTACTTAAGTACAAAGAAGAATTTCTTAGCTATCAACTCAACATTTATTAACTGCTCATAAAATGTTTCTAAAATGCTGGGGATTGGGAGACATGTAAATAAGACCCATTCTTTGCCCTCAAAAAGTTCAAAGATCATCAGGAAGGAAACTAAGTAAATTCCAGGATGAAAAGTCAGTGCTACATAAGAATATTTATTCAATGCAACAAATCTTTATTGAAAGTCACCTGTGTACCAGGCATAGGCTTCTGAGACCCAGGGAATACTATCTTACCCTCTAAAAGCCAGTCCAGTGGGAGACACAGGCAGCCCAATAATCACAATCCAGTGAGGTCAGTACTATCAACAAGGTAAGAAACAAGAACTTGGCAATGAAAAGGATGGAGATTTGATTAATTACGTTAGATAAAAGGAACCCTCAATGGCCTCTAGAAAAGGTTAATTTCTTGAGGTAACTTCTCTGATTGTCTAAATGATCAATCTTCCTTCAGTTTGTCCTGTTATTAATAGTATTAATGCATTTTGTAATGGAATAATTGAGTCCACAACATAATGGAAAACACCAGATTGTCATCAAGAAAATCATTTGTAAAATCATTTTCTCAGTGAGGTATATAACAAAACTCAATGAATAAATTTCAAAATTAGAAGGTCAAATTAGTCTTGACAGCAAAATGCTCCTTGACAAGTGCTGGCACTTGGCAGTTGGTCAACATCTGAATAGAATCAAGAGAGAATCATGTTAGCAGCAGCTAAGCTTCATGCTACTGAAACAGAATGAAGGATTTCCTCTCCCACCTCTTGAGGTTACATTCACAACAGGCCTGTGTTAATAAGTACACTAATAGCAGGAAATTACAAAAATATAGGACAGAAAAAATCTGGGCTCTTACAACCCAAACTAAACACACATTTGCATGCCATCCTTGATTCTGGCTGTCTAGTGATTTTGTCTGTTCTTTGTATTTATTATCGGAGTGTTTACAGCTGGAAAAAGGTGGTACCAGATGGCCCTGCATTGACATAATCTGGCAACCAGCAGGACATTTACTAGAAATCCAGAAAACTATCATTTAGCTAACATCTGAGGAAGAAAAAGGGTATTTGGAGATAGTATAGATGTCATGGGAATATTGAAAAAACAAAATCTGTCTTGAATTATAGAGCCACGAATATAAATGTTTTCATAGAACAAAAATATAAAAGTTAGTCCAACTCAGCAAAAGCTTAAAACTCAAAATTAATCTGAATTAGTTTGAACCTGCAAACGTCTCAGATCCTATGTGAAAGTCTGCAAGAAAGCCTTCAAGAAATCAATTTTTAAAAAAACGCAACATTTCAACATCTTAGGAAGGGTGACAAATTCTTTGAGTCACATGTTATAAGACAATATTAATTCTCCAAACACATATTTTACTGCAGGGAAGAGATAAATGTGATACCCTTTCTTTGTGAAGAGTAGAGCAAAGGTGGTACTGTCCTCACTCACAAGGAAGCCCAGGACCCTGGCTTTGCCTGTGGTACCCCCTACTCTCATCACAAGGAGGGAGAGGGACATCAGTGAGTGGTGGCACTGAGGCACCTGAGAACCAAATCTTACCCTTGGAAGGATAAATGATCACCACATCCCTCTATTTGCTTTACAGTAATAAATAAATAAATATATCAAAAATTTTTTTTTAAACCACTTTTATCTTAAAAAAGTTAGACCTGGACCACTTGATAAATTATTAATATTTTTAATATGTAGAGAATTTGTATAAATTAAGAAAAAAGATCAGCATTGTAAATAGAGAAGTAACAAAAGATGGAAACTAGCAGTTTCCTCCAAAAGAAATACAAATGACGAAGGAACAAGGCAGAAAAAGTTACCTAAGCAATAACTGAGGAAACTAAAATTTAAATATCACAACACTTTTGCTTATGCGCTTGATAAACAACGATAAAGGAGAATAATATCCAGTGAGAGTGTGAAGAGATTTGTACAAAATACTTGGAAAACAACTTAACAATAACTATCAAAAAAACTTTAAAAACTGATGCAAACTCTTCAATCTAGCAATTCCACTTACAGGAATTTATCCTAAAGAAGAAATTTAAAAATGACCAATAATTAGATATACAAGTCATGTTAACATTGTTTGATTTATTGAAAAATTAAAAATCATCTAAGTGTATGATAACAGATTATTTAAATAAATTATGGAACATTTTCCATAAGCTGGAATATCATGTAGCCATTGAAGGTGATCATGCGTTTACTGACATAAGTGATCATAAGATACTATGTGGGGAAAAATGTTTAGGTAATAATAAGCATAGTATGATCCCATATATGCAAGTGTGTGTTTGTTGGTATGTATATAAATAAACTGCATACAGACAGGAAACAGTATGGAAGGATAGGCAAATTATCAATAATAACATTCTTGTAATGGTTTCATACTGGCATTACAAGTAAGTTTTGCTTTCTTATTTACACTTTTCAGTATCTTCGAAATCTTTACTATAAATATGTAACACATTGATAAGCATCAGAAAAAAAGTTTTTATAAAACTGACCTGCTGAGTTACAACAGTGATAACACAAGGGATGACACTTAACTTTAAGCGCTATAGATGGCTTCAGGCACCAGGACTGAAAACATTGATTCCTGGGGAAATCTTTCCCTTTGAAAATTTACTTTTATGCCTTAATCTTAAATGTGTGTACAAATGTGTGCACATAAAATCATGAGACTTATGAAACTAACCCCAAGTTCAAAACCTTCTTAGTGTAACTGTATGTTCAGAATAAAGTATCCATGACACATTCAGTGAGACCCTGCAATGTGCCAGGGACACAGCGATGAATGAGGCCAAGCCCTTACCGTCTGGAAACTTGCAGGATAGGACACAATCAAAATACAATGGGAAACGTGCTAAAATAGAGGAATTTACAAAGTGTGACAGAACACAGAGAAAGGCGCATTGAATTCTGTAAGGTGTAGGGAGAGGAGGCTGCCTAAGAAGGCTTCAAAGAGAAAGTGAGATAGAAGCGGCATCTTACAGGATGAGCAGTAATTCCCCAAATTTGTGGGTGGGGACACTGAGGTTGTCCCAGGCTGAAATAAAAGCACATAAATAAAAGCACAAGCACAAAAAATAAAAGCACAAGAGGACGACAATGATGATAATGATGATGGTGGTGGTGGTGGTGGCGGCCCTTTATGCCAAAAACCGCACTGTATCTATATTAACTCATTTAATGCTACCATCTATGATGAAGAACTCATCTCCATCTTACAAATGAAGCAACTGAGGAACCAAGAGATTATAAAAGCATATTCAGAGTAAGTGGAAAAGTTAGGATTCAACCCTAGGCAATGTGGCTTGACAACTGACACTCTTAAGCACTACACATACTGCCTTCTTCAAAAGACAGTGATATATTTAAGAGATGGCAAGTTATTCAATTCAAAAAATTCTCACTGAACACCCACTGTGGTCTGGGCACTGTGCCAGGTGCTAGAGCTAGAGATGAGAGAAGCACAGGCCGCAAGGAGAGCCCCTTTCTAGTAGGGAAGACACAGTATTTTTACCATAACATTAGATATGTGATCTAGAAAGAATACAAAGGAAAGAGCAATTGATTCTGTTGAGGCCTCTGGAGTAGGGAACACGTCTCAGAAGACATGATCACAGATGAAGGTTTTATAAAATAAACTGAAGCTCTTCAAGAGTATTCGGGGATGAAAGAAAAGCTTTTCAGACAACCAGAGCAGAACACGAAGCTGTCCAAAAGCACGATGTATGCAGGAATCTCTCAAATATTACATGGGGTGCTGACGTGGCAAAATAATCATGGAACTGACAGGATTTGATTTGCAACTGGATAAATGACAGAAGGGTGAGTGGCATCAGGAATGAACCTGGGGAAGGAAAAGCAATTTCCAGACACAGGTAGAGGTACAGTGGGGACTCAGTGGTTAGGCCCAACAGTTTTCTGCTGAGCAGACAGTCCATTTGACAGCTGTGTGTAAGCATGTGTTGGGGCAGGGGGCACAGGAAAGGTCGACTTGTTTTTCCAAGGATGAACCAAGAGAAACACAACCAGTTGCCTCTGGGAATGTGAGGCAGGAGACAGGAGGCAGCCAAGTGAGTGTTTCCCAACTCAACGTCTAAGGTAAAGATCGCACGTGTATTTGGAAATCATTGTCTACTCTGACAGCACTTTAGACAACCAGAATTCAAATCACATCATTTCTTTATCTTAAACTTGCCAGCATACTGTAATATACATATTGTTAAAGGCACATACATAACAGAATAATAATTCTAACTATTTCAGGTAGCATGGTGCAGCAGAAATATTATAGACATGAAGTTAAGTAAAGAAGATATACTGTACCTTTAGGTGACAATGAGGTTTTAGATAAATTTAAATGCTTTAATCCCTTTGGGAGTTTGGCAAATTGAATACTTAAAGAGGATACACCTGAGAAAGGAAAAAAAAGAGATGATTAGAATTCTCAGAATTGCATGTGTTTTACAATGCCTGAAAATTGACTAAAATTTGATTCCAATTTATGTGATCATATTTTTCTTTCTAATATCAGACCTTGTTTTCAAATCATCTACCATCATGCATCCTTTTCCTTCTGCCCCACCCATAGGGTGGGAGAAGGGGAAGATTGTTTGATTAAGCACACCAGTATCAAAACTTTACCATTAAAGATGTTTTCTTTTGGCCAAGAATTACCCTCTCCCTCACAGTCCTATTTCAAATGCAAATCCACTTGGGAAAGGTGATCTAACTGTTCCCTCCTTTTCTTTTTAACCTGTGTCTTAATGAGTTGATAGCTCTTCTGAGTGAGCAGATGCATGCTATTTAATCATTGTCAAGAAAAATGGCATAATATTAACTATTCCAATAACAGCTTCACTTTTAGCAGATGGATTCCAATAGTTAACTGGCTTAAGGTTAACAACAAAGCATCAGAGCACGTTTTAACTTCTTCCAAGTAGGTTTGGTAACATGAACTAACTCACTAGGAATTTATAGTATCAAAAATCGGATAGTCTCCAAATTTAATGGCCAGAGTGGGAGACTGAACACCAGCTCCCTCATCCACGGAGTGCAGTGAATGCAGACTGTTTTCTGGGAGAAACTAAGTAATACACGAATGTATGGCCTTCCCACAGATCCTTTAACCAACCCCTGCTTCACGGGTTATCAGCTCCCAGGGGCATGTTCCTGGGGAGCCTCCTGAAACAGTATTAACCGTATGCTCCCCGAGACTGATTCTCAAACTCCAGGCTCCACAAAGGAACGATGGCACTGGTTGCTGCCCTATTATATAATCCCAAATTCTCTACAATTTTATCAAAGTTCATCAAGAAATAACTTCTGTAGAAAAAACCTAAAGATCCTGCAGCTTGACCAAGCCTCTACATGGGCATTTCCCCAAGGAGGGCCAGTGTTCTTAGAGGCCCTGCCAATCTCCCCAAAGTGTTTCATTGTCAACTAAGTTTGACAATCACTGGATCAAATAATGTTAAACAGCTTTTTTTTGACTGAATATTTCTAGAGGCTTGATTGTGCTAATCCATGTTGTTAATGGCAAAGAGAGGGCAGGCCTGATATTTAACTGATCCATTCTTGTAGAAGAATAAATAACAAGTTACTATGGGGAGAGGAAAAAGATGGAGCAACGTTTAAACCTCGATTAATACAACAGGCAAAAAAGGAGAGAAGAAAGAAGAACAAAGGAAAAAGCGGAAAGTAGAAAACAGACACAGAGTAGATTTTCACCCAAATAAATTGATAATTACATCAAATATAAATGTACTAAATACTCAAACTAAAAGTCAAAGATGGATTATCTGAACAAAAACATCAGATGTTTTCAAGAGACACATTTAGAAATATACGTATTCAGAAATGAATGTAAAAGCATGGAAAAAAATACATACACTGTAAACCCTAATGAAAGAAAGCTGGTGTAGCTGTAATAATGTAAGACAAGTTTTAAGAAGCATTACTAGAGATAAATTAGACATTTCATTAATGAAGAAGATGTAGTAATTTTAAATCTGCATGGTCTGAATAACATGGTCTCAAAATACATCAAGTAAATCTGATAGTAACAAAAGGAAAATACATTGTTAGACACATGCATAAATACATATGTATGCACACACATACACACACACATGCACACACACGTGCACACACAATAGTGGAGATTTTTAAACACATTTCTGTCAAGTAGCTGATAAAACAAATGGACAAAAAAAGTCAGTAAAGATATAGACGATATCAAGAGCATAATGAAAAAAGATCTAATTGATATATTTAAAACACTGTACCTAATAACTCAGAATGTATTTCTTCAAAGTACACATGGAACATTTACCAAAAGTGACCATATACGGAGCCATAAAGCAAGTCTCAACAGATAATACAGAGTATGTTCCTTAACTGCTATGAAATCACGCAGAGTATATTCTCTATCAGTCTGTACTCTAACTGCTACCATTACAATGGAATTATAACAAAAAGAAAATTAGAAAATCCCCAAATAGTTAGAACTTAAGCAATATACCTTTTTCTTTGGGAAGATTGGCCCTGAGCTAACATCTGTTGCCAATCTTCCTCTTTTTGCTTGAGGAAGATTGTCCCTGAACTAACATCTGTGCCCATCTTCCCCTATTTTGTATGTGGACACTGCCACAGCGTGGTTTGATGAGCAGTGTGTAGGTCTGTGGCCGGGATCCAAACCTGTGAACCCCAGGCCACCAAAGCACAGTGCATGAACTTAACTTCTATGCCACCGGGCCAGGCCCTTAATCAATATACTTTTAAACGATAAATGAGTCCAAGAAAAACAATCACTCTGGAAATTTTTTTAATATTTTGAGTTAAATAAAAATAAACTATTATAGTAACATTTTGGGGATACAAACACAGCCATGCTTCAAGGGAAATCTATAGTCCTAAAGACATATGTTAATAAGGAAGAAAAGCTTTTGGAAACTAATTATCTAAGTATCCATATCAAGATGTTTGACAAAACTAGCAAATTAATCCCTACTCCATCCCTATAAACAGAAGGAAAGAAAAAACAAGAAGTCTATTAAATAGAAAGCAGCCATAAAATCAGTAAGTTTAACAAAGCTTGTTCTTCAAAAAGACTAACAAAATTAATAAACTCCAGCAAGACAACTTAACAAAAAAGAAAAAATAAAGGCGAGATCAAATTATCACAATCAGAAATGAAAAGAGAATACCAGTAGAGATCCTACAGATACTGCAAATGCAACTCAAGGGTATAAAAAAATTCTGGAGGTGAAAAAATGTATTGTTTTAGAAGAAATGGACAAAACACAACTTACCAAAACTTATATAAGAAAAAGTAGATAATCTCAAGTCTTCTACCTATTCAAGAAAATTAATGCATTATTAAAAACCTCTCCACTGGGGCCGGACTGGCGTAACAGTTAAGTTCATGCACTCCACTTCAGGGGCCTGGAGCTCTCTGGTTCAGATCCTGGGCACAGACCTACACACCACTTCTCAAGCCCTGCTGTGGCGGCATCCCACACAGAACAACTAGAATGACTTACAACTAGGATATAGAACTATTTACTGGGGCTTCGAGGGGGAAAAAAAAAAGAGGCAGATTGGCAACAGATGTTAGCTCAGGGCCACTCTTCCTCACCAAAAAGCATACCTAGAAAACTCCACAAAGAAAAGCAAAAGAAGCCAAATATAAGAGTATACACTGTAGAATTCTATATTTATGAAGTTGAAGAGTAAGCAAAGCTAATCTATCATAACAGAAGTCAGAATAGTGTTTATCTTTCTGTGTGGTGGAGGGCAGGGGTGGGAATCACTGGTGCAAAACACGAGAGAAGCTTGCGGACTGTGGATAATGTTCTATTTTTCAAATCTTAGTAGTGAGTACATGAGAGCATTCACTTTATAAAAATTCATTAAGATGTAAACTTGGGATTTGTTGACTTTTCTGAATGTGTATTATACTTTAATGAAAAAGTTTACTTCAAAAAATTAGGTATGGAAGATAACAGAGGAGAAAATCTAGACGACTGTGGGTATGATAATGACTTTTTAGATACAATATCAAAGGCACAAACCATGAAAGAAATCATTGATAAGCTGGACTTCATTAAAGAGTTCTTCTCTGCAGAATACAATGTCAGGGGGCCGGCCTGGTGGCTTAGCAGTTAAATTCGCACGTTCCGCCTCTCGGCGGCCCAGGGTTCCCCAGTTCAGATCCCAGGTGAGGACATGGCACCGCTTGGCACGCCATGCTGTGGTAGGCGTCCCACATATAAAGTAGAGGAAGATGGGCACAATGTTAGCTCAGGGCCAGGCTTCCTCAGCAAAAAGAGGAGGACTGGCAGTACTTAGCTCAGGGTAATCTTCCTCAAAAAAAAAAAAAAAAAAATACAATGTCAGGAGAATGAGAAGCAAGCCACAGAGTGGGAGGAAATGTTTGCAAAAAACACATCCGATAAAGGATTGTTATTCAAAATATGCAAAGAACTCTTAAAATTTAACAATCAGAAAATAAATAACCCAATTAAAAAAGAGCTAAAGACCTTAATAGACACCTCTCCAAAGATATACAAATGGAAAATAAGCATATGAAAAGATGCTCCACATCTTATGTCACCAGGGAAATGCAAATTAAAACAACAATGAAATACCACTATACACCTATTAGAAGGGCCAAAATATGGAACACTGACAACATCAAATCCTGGCCAGGATATGGAGCAACAGGAACTCTCATTCATTGCTGGTGAAAATGCAAAATGGTACAGCTACTTTGGAAGACAGTTTGGTGGTTTCTTACAAAACTAAACATACTCATCATATGATCCAGGAATCATGCTCCCCTTGGTATTTACCGAAAGGACTTGAAAACTATATGACATTTGGAAAAGGCAAAACTATGAAGACAGCAGCAAGATCAGTGGTTGTCAGGGGTTGCGGGGGGAGTTGTCCAGAGGGATGAATAGGCAGAACATAGATTTTTAGGGCCGTGAAATACTCTATATGATACTACAATGATGGATGCATGTCATTATGCATTTGTCCACATCCATAGAATGTACAACATCAAGAGTGAACTATAAACTATGGACTTTGGGTGATTATGGTATGTCGATGCAGGCTCATCAATTGTAGCAAATGTACTACTCTTTGGGGGATGTTAATAATGGGGTAAGCTATGCATGCGAGGGAGCAGGGGCCATATGGGAAACTGCTACACCTTCCTCTCAACTGTACTGTGAACCTAAAACTATTCTAAAAAATTAAGTCTTTAAAAAAAAATTAGGTTCAGGAGAAGGAAGAATACCAGATGCTCACTTTGAACTTTTGATGAGTTATCATTGCCTACTTACCACCAGTTCTTTTATGTATTTTTTTTTACTTAGCAAAGCATATGCTACGACAATGCTAAA